GGAAAGGGGTCATGGTGCCTGGCTTGACTTTTGGAAACGCAGTGCTATGCATGAAATCCGAAGTGCATGCGAAACTAGAAATAAAACATCGCGGAGTAGGTAGACTGGCTTTGGGGGCGCATTGCAAAACGCCAAACCAGGGAGTACAAGGAGACATGGGATGGGCATCATTTGAGAGCAGGGAAGCGGTGAGCAAGGTAGAATTTGAGGATAGGTTGAGGCTAATGGATGGGGAGCAATGGGCACGAAAGGTTTTCAGCTATTTATACATGAGGAGTGTAGACACAAAGTGGAGACAGCGCACTAGGAAATTAAGAGGAAGGTTTTTGGGCTATAGCGAAGATACGGAAGAGCAAGTCTCAGTTAAGAAGAAAGTTAAGGCCACAGAAAGAGATCGGTGGCTAGAGGGAATGCAGACAAAGACTGCTCTGGAAAGCTATAGATTAAACAAAAGAGTTATTGCCAAAGAAAGCATTTATGACAATTCTAGGGGAAGCTCATTGCTGTTTGAGGCAAGAACTGGTGTTCTGCGAACCAGAACATACAGAGTGAAGTACCAGGAAATTGATACAGTGTGCACTGCTTGTGGAGAGGAGGACGAGACGGCTGAGCACTTGATACTCTACTGTAAAGGGCTTCACCCTATGCCTACCGAAGACAACATAGATTTAATAAAGTCATTGGGTTTTAGAGACAGCGAAGGGAGAGTGGATTTCAAGACTGTAGAGATTACCAAGCAAAGATTAAGTGAATGGTGGCAGAAATCGAGAGAAAACTAGGTATTTTCTTAATCACTGATGGCAAGGGGGTTTCATAGCCTCACTTTCTTTGCACTGCGGAGTGAATATAGATTTCACATTTAAATATTCTAAGCTTAAATGGTAAAACAAAATGGCTAGGTGGCGTAAGCTACCGCCCGATCCAAAGGGCTCAGCCGTATTCATCCATCATCCATCCATCCAGTGGCTTCCTCCTCTCCCCCTTGGGGCGATTTCCGTAACGAACCCCCGCACAAAGGAGATCGACGTGTCGCTCCTTGATTGGCCACTTCGCCCCCGCCGTTATCTTAAAACCAGCGGACAGCAGTCTCGCTTGTCTCTTCTTCCTGGGATTCGGCGGCGGCGACAACGGGGAGCCTTCCGGCGCACCGGTGAGCGTTTATACCCCGTACTTTGTACCTTTGTGAACGACCGTTCGGCCGTGGGCGATCTCCACACCGACGGCGTTCACCAGCTTATAGTCGCTGTTTTGTTGTTATTTTGTTTCATTGTAAATAAACAGAGTTTATCACCGTTACCAACGTGACTGGTGTCTGTCTGCGCTCAACGAGCAGCATGCCACGCGAGTACGAACCCGCTTCGCGGTAGAGCGTCTCGCCGCGAACGTGGAACTCCCAAAGGCAGTGGCCCAAAGGAGAACCACAACATCCAGGACCTTTCTACGCCTGCCGTTCGTCGGAGCCTCATCCCACTAGGCCTTTCTAATATGCGCCGTTTTTTCCGCCGCTTGGTGGCGGGTATGTCGACGGGCCATTTGAGAGCAGGGAAGCGGTGAGCAAGGTAGAATTTGAGGATAGGTTGAGGCTAATGGATGGGGAGCAATGGGCACGAAAGGTTTTCAGCTATTTATACGTGAGGAGTGTAGACACAAAGTGGAGACAGCGCACTAGGAAATTAAGAGGAAGGTTTTTGGGCTATAGCGAAGATACGGAAGAGCAAGTCTCAGTTAAGAAGAAAGTTAAGGCCACAGAAAGAGATCGGTGGCTAGAGGGAATGCAGACAAAGACTGCTCTGGAAAGCTATAGATTAAACAAAAGAGTTATTGCCAAAGAAAGCATTTATGACAATTCTAGGGGAAGCTCATTGCTGTTTGAGGCAAGAACGGGTGTTCTGCGAACCAGAACATACAGAGTGAAGTACCAGGAAATTGATACAGTGTGCACTGCTTGTGGAGAGGAGGACGAGACGGCTGAGCACTTGATACTCTACTGTAAAGGGCTTCACCCTATGCCTACCGAAGACAACATAGATTTAATAAAGTCATTGGGTTTTAGAGACAGCGAAGGGAGAGTGGATTTCAAGACTGTAGAGATTACCAAGCAAAGATTAAGTGAATGGTGGCAGAAATCGAGAGAAAACTAGGTATTTTCTTAATCACTGATGGCAAGGGGGTTTCATAGCCTCACTTTCTTTGCACTGCGGAGTGAATATAGATTTCACATTTAAATATTCTAAGCTTAAATGGTAAAACAAAATGGCTAGGTGGCGTAAGCTACCGCCCGATCCAAAGGGCTCAGCCGTATTCATCCATCCATCCATCCATTTCTTGTTTCCATACTTTATAAACTGCATTTGTTTCTTTTCTGATTTAAAATGCTGAACAAAAACTACTTTTATAAATAACAGAAAAGGCTTGCGCCACTTATAAGTTTATTAAGGTATTTCGGCACCGCAGGTTGCCCCTGTCGGTGGAGGAGGTTTCCGCGTTGTCTCGTTAAAATATGACGCACTGATATTTAGTTACTCTCTCCGTACCCGCTGGCTCGCCCGAACCCCAAGAGATGTGGAAACTGCAAAAAAGGTAGACGCTTAAATATGATTGCAGGGTTCTTTGAAGTGCATCAATACAAATATGTTGGTCTTTTAAAAAGTTGAGTATGGTTGGCAGTGTACAGTGTAGACCGCATATAACGTATGTCTCGGGAGTCGCGAAAATCCGCACTATAAGCGGTACCGCACTATAACCAAAACATCAATTTTTCAGGCCAAAATACATGCCATGAGACAACTTACCTTTGTAAAAGAATTTATTTTATGTTAGATGAAAAAGTAAGCTTAGTTTGAGGAAGGTCTTTATATCACCAGACTAGTACAGTTCTGTCTCAAGTGTGTCACACATTTTGAAAGAAATGAGCGGCTTTTGCCTGGCGCAGCCTTTTAACGGCGTCGCGGGTTGTGGACGGACGTTGCGAGCGTTCAGGATTGCCAACCCTAATCACTTTTCTCCTGAGATGAAAACACGTGAAAATTCGCATCCTTCATACGGTACGCGCCAGTAATACCTTGAACTTCAGTACACGCATGAAATGCGCCAAATAAGAAATCCGGGCGATGGTCGAGGACGCAAATGCTTAGAAATCACCACTGTAGTCGAAGTAAACAAACACGACGACACGGGCGTTTCTGCCGTCTTGAGAGCGCCGCCACGACGTCGCCGCACGAGTAGGTGGATCTTCCCTTCTAGTACGTGCTGGGTTATCAAAGCGACACAAAACGAAAATTCACAGTCAAGGATTGCGCTTTTACGCAGAACGACGAGATGCACGCCATCTACGACGACGATCACAACCGACGCCATGTTTGCGGAATAGAAGCAGCCGGTCCGCGACCGGCATGCAACGCGCGCGAACACTTCTCCTCGACCTGCGATTGGTCTGTCGTTGCGGTTGTTTGTTTCTTTGTTTCCAACGCAGCAGAGAGACGCACGCACGAGAACGCCTCGTGCGTGCGTCCCTCCGTCTCTATGGCAACTGAAGCCTCTCTCTTCGCTTCTCCCCACGTTTTCGAGCAACTTCCTTGCCCCGCGAGTGCAGCTTGTGGCTCGCGCCGTCAGCGCCGTTATCTAGTGTCGCACAGGGAAGCGAGCTCGCTGCTCCGGTCGTCGGCGCGGTCGGCGGGCTGTGCCAAAAACCGCACTATAACCGGTATTTCCCTTCGCGCGCCTGCATTTTAAGCGGTATGTAATTACATGGAGTTCTATGGGAGGTGAACCGGTGGTTTAAAAAAACCGCGTTATACCCGGTCCTGCACTATAAGCGGTTATGTTGTAAGTGGTCTATACTGTATACTGTAACATTTGAAGCCCACAGTTTGTTCTAGGACGAGGTACTCTCAGGGATCCGGCACTACGACTCCATATACCATATTTGTAACACTTGGGTCTAGAAAACTGCGGTAATGGGCGGTTAAAACATTTCAGGGATGCTGCGTATACTGTCACAAGTTGCAATATTCTGGTACTTTTATTACTTTATGCTTATCAAAAAAGTGGATCAGTGTGTCCGTAATAAGACGCATTGGCTATGACTCGGATTGCTTTCTTATGCAATAAAAAAAGTTTATTAAGGTTTGTACTAATCGTGGTTGCCCACACTAGGTGACAATAGGATATATGAGAATTGAACAATGCATTATAAATTAAGAGTTGAACACTAGATGGTAACATATGGAAATGTTTATATAGAAAACATATGATATTCGAGAGTTTAAGCGTAAGATTTTGAATATAGGAGTCCCATAACATATAATCATGAAAAATTACACAAAATTTTTTTAACGGTGTTTACAAATTCAATTTTTGAAGAGTTCAACATTAACTTTGCATTAGCATTGCACACTGTACCCTTTGATTTAAAGATAATCTCTTTTGTTTTGTTTGCGTTTATTTCTAAAGAATTTGAGACAGTCCATAAACTAAGTTTTTTCAGAGATGTTTGCATTGGCAACTAATCTATCAATGTTGTTTTCTGAAAAAAATATACTAGTATCGTCAGCATAAATGACAAATGAGGTGTTACTTGCAATAGCAACTATATCATTTATAAAAAAAATTAAAAAGCAATGCTCCTAAGGCACTACCTTGAGGTACCCCTGTTCGGACCGCTTTCAGAATTGGAGAAAATTCGCTGGTTCCAACTGTTTGCATCCGACAGCTCAAGTAGCTCTCAACTAGTACAAGAGAATGCCCTCGAATTCCACAAAAATTTAGTTTTTTTAATAGATTTTATGATTCAACCGGTCAAAAGCTTTTGAGAAATTTGTAAAAATTCCTGACTAGGTTACATGCTACACATTGAAAGCAACTGAGGTATCGTGCTTATCCCCAGGAACTCATTTTGTACATTGTTTCTTGTTACAGAACTACTATGTTTATGTGCAAAATACTACTATGTACAGATGAGTGGAGCTTATTTCTAAATGTAACAAGGAAAGACCTCTCCTTCAGTATGGCGAGTATAAGAGATTCAATTTTCTTTCTCCGAATGCATGCAGACAGCACATCAACCCACCTTTGACTCCGCTGCTGACCCGTATGCAGAGCGGAAGAATGAAATTCATCAAAAAAATTTCCGTCTTGTCTGTGCTTGACAGGATAGACGATCCTCCACAGATGCTTTCGAGAGAGAGCGACTCCTGCACCAAAACCGGCCCACATTAAGATCGGAATGCATATGTTGTGCCAAAAAATGAAAGACGTTTACAGATCGCTGTAATGCGAAACTGGAGGAGAAGGGGAGGGTACGGAGGGGAGGGTATGCCACTCCTTTTCCTCCATACCCTCCTCCTCCTCCCCTCCTTTTGTCTTAACTCCTCCTCCCACTAAATTTAGTGGGTGAAGTTTCCCCGCTAAATTTAGAGGGGGAAATTGACGTCACGTAACCTCAACACCAATTCAGTTTCCCCGCTATATTTTGTGGGGAAAATGATGTAATATGACTTTCTGTCACGTCACCCATGAGCAAATTCAGTTTCTTCGCTAGAATTAGCGGGGCAGTACAACACCAATTCAATTTCCTGACAAATTTAGCGGGGCAGTACATCGACATCGACGCCGCACAACGCCGAAACGGGCGCCCACGAGCTGCGCTCTAAAATGCTTAATTATAATGTGACCTTCAAATGATTTCATACCCTTCGCCCCTCATAATGAGATAATGATCAGACTCTGCAAAAAGTAGCACATTTTGAAAACCAGAGGCCTAGTACATTTTCAGACAATGCTTCACAAACTTTTATTAACGTTAACGGGCTGTAGCCAGCACTCAAACATCACCGAGGAATGCGCCATACCAAACTCTATAATCCATTGCCAGAGAAGTATATAGTTAAAATATATTAGCATGCCCAATATTCTTTGAACACTGCAAAGGAGCTTAGCCAGATGGGTAGTTCATGACACCACAGCATCATTCAATTAGCCGCCACTGGGAATTAAGAGCAGCACTCTTGGTCAGTATTAGCTAACCCAATAAGGAAGGCTAGAAATCCTTGTATCCCAACTACAAAGCATCGCATAAAAAAAGTACCTTTAACTGCACATGTTTTTACTTCGCTAGTTACACCTTTATGCATGGTGTGAATGGAACCCCCAGTTCATGACTGACACGCTTTCTAAAGAAGCACGTGCTATAGCAACAGTCCAAACTAGGTACAGTCGGGAGCAAAAGTTTGCGGGGCACGGGAGCGCGTGCCGAAATGCATCGCCGCGCCGTCCGACGGCGCGCCGCCGCATTAAGGAGCCGCGCTCTGCGCATGTGCGCCTTTCGTGCTCGCTATCATGTCTCTTTCGCTCGTTTCTTTCCAACGCACACCTGATAACACGAGTCGGCGCCAGGGGCGCGAGTTAGCGCTTCGCTGGCTGTCAGGCTGGGCGTCTGCTTCAGCCGCCTCAGCCGCCGCGCTTTGTGACGGAGCTCGCGGGGGGGGGGGGGGGGGGGGGGGGGGCTTGGGATTTTAACGCTTAGTCACCCAGCGCGGCTGCTGAGGCAGCTGAAGAGGACGCAAGGCATGACAGCCAGCGAAACGGCAACTTGCGCCCCTGGCGCCGATTCCGGTTATCACGAGTGAGTCGGACAGGAACGAGCGAAAGAGACATGGCTGCCAGCACCAAGGGTGCGCATGCTCAAAGCGCGGCTTTTTGATGCGGCGGCGCGCCGTTGCACGGCGCGGCGATGCATTTCGGCACGCGCTCCCGTGCCCCGCAAACTTTTGCTCTCGACTGTACAGCAATACGTGAAAACATCTTTGCGTTTAGCTCTGTGCCTCCCCATTCTCACCCACTCTTCGTTCGAGCCCTACACTGGTACCACGCCAGCCCTAGATTGGCAACATACTGGACATAGACCGGCTCAACAAAGAAAATACGACGGCCCTACATGGTTACCACAGCGGGCATACATTGGTTCTACACTGGCCCTGTAGTGACACTATGCCAGCCCTGCACTGGCATTACACTGGCCATACACTGATGTCACACTGGCACTAGACTGGCATTATAGCAGCCCTACACCGGTACCACATTGGTCCTGGTCCTAGAATGGTCCTGCCTGCGCACTACACTGGCATTATAGCAGCCCTACAGCGGTACCACACTGGTCCTAGAATGGTACTGCCTGGGCACTACACTGGCTCTACACCGGCCATAGATTGATGTCACACTGGCACTACACTGGCATTATAGCAGCCCTACAGCGGTACCACACTGGTCCTAGAATGTTCTTGCCTAGGCACTACACTGGCTTTACACCGGCCATACATTGATGTCACACTGGCACTACACTGGCATTATAGCAGCCCTACAGCGGTACCACACTGGTCTTAGAATGGTCTTGCCTGGGCACTACACTGGCATTATAGCAGCCCTACAGCGGTATCACACTGGTCCTAAAATGGTCTTGCCTGGGCACTTCACTGGCTTTACACCGGCCATACATTGATGTCACACTGGCACTACACTGGCATTATAGCAGCCCTATAGCGGTACCACACCGGTCTTAGAATGGTCCTGCCTGGGCACTACACTGGCATTATAGCAGCCCTACAGCGGTATCACACTGGTCCTAGAATGGTCTTGCCTGGGCACTACACTGGCTTTACACCGGCCATATATTGATGTCACACTGGCACTACACTGGCATTATAGCAGCCCTACAGCGGTACCACACTGGTCCTAGAATGGTCTTGCCTGGGCACTACACTGGCATTATAGCAGCCCTACAGCGGTACCACACTGGTCCTAGAATGGTCTTGCCTGGGCACTACACTGGCTTTACACCGGCCATACATTGATGTCACACTGGCACTACACTGGCATTATAGCAGCCCTACAGCGGTACCACACTGGTCCTAGAATGGTCTTGCCTGGGCACTACACTGGCATTACACCGGCCATACATTGATGCCACACTGGCATTATAGCAGCCCTACAGCGGTACCACACTGGTTCTAGAATGGTCCTGCCTGGGCACTACACTGGCTTCACACCGGCCAATATACCGCTCTACTGCACTGTGAGTGGGAAAGAGAGTCACCCCGAGGGCGATCATCTGCATGGTGACGAGGCGCACGGCCACCGAGCAGAAGCCCGGAGGCGGGGACTGAGCCAGGGCTGCGGCAGAGACCGACACGTTGCCGCTGCTCTCGGCTACCAGCGAGGCGTTCTGATCTCCCACGATGATGCTCTGGCAGATGGCGACCAGCGACTGCAAAGGAGCCAACACAGGCCGATCTTGTCCACGCCCAAGCCACTACTTGCAGATGTTCCGAAGCATGTTTGCAACTACGTCAAAGAAACATTCAAATTTCAAAAGAACAAGAAAATTGTTTGAGCTGTCACTTGACACAACAATGACTCCTTGGTTTGCACATGCATTGCTTGAACCCGCACAATCGGTTTGAATCTTTTCTTGCAGGAAAAGTGTGTGGCGTGTCTTTGTGTTCAGCACTCAGTAGCTTTGCCTCATTTGCTGTAAAAGCTTTGTTCAAATATCCTGGGTGATTATAACCTGTTGTGGTGGAAAACAGAAGTACAGTTGAACCTCAATTTAACGAAACCCGACTTTACGAATTTCCCGATTTGACGAACAAATTCGGATTCCCCATGCAGTCTATGCGCGAAGTCTTCCTTCCTCGATTTTACGAAGGTCCCGATTTAACGAAATAATTAGCGGGTCCCGGTGACTTTGTTAAATCGAGGTTCAATTGTACACGTAAAATTCTGGTCATAACCATGTTCAACATGACGAAAAAGAGCCTCAGATAAACAGGGATGAAAAACGGGTAAAGAACATGACAGGACAACGGCCTGTCCATGTTCCCTTCATAACCATGTTCCCTAAAAAACATTAAACTCCCCCAATTTTTTTTTAAAAATGTGCCTGGATAGAAAACGTTTGTCATAATGTATGTCACATACATCCTAATGCACATAACGTCATAATGTATGTATGTCGTAATGTACGTCAATTTCATGGTTCTATTTCGGGTCCACGTGCCAAAAGAGAAGCTGCATGTTCTGGAATCATCGCTCACTTAAAATGAGTCTCGTAACATTTCGCAGAAACTTTATTTTGTGACATATGTGCCCTAAACAGACACTTACGGTGACATGCGACATGACGTCACCCGCTACGCTTGCTTGGGGAAGGAAAAACAAACAAAAAGAGGCTGTAGAGTCACAGCTTTTAATACCTGACTCACACAAAAAGAAATACTTCGCGCTCTGAATGAAAACAATGGGCGCGCCACAGAACCAAGCACAGCGAGTGCGAGTTGCTCGTGCAGACTCTCGCTCTGGCTCGCTCAGTAGATCTCGGGAGCCGGTGAGACAACAATAAAAAGAAGAGATGCCTTTCGCCTAAGCTCCGGGCCGGACGTCTCAAATTCTTTTCTGGCAACTTCGAACACCGCCAACAAATTGGTGACCCGGACGTCCGACCAACATGGACCGGAACACAGACAGCTCTTCCAGCGGCGATAGAACCTTTTCCACCACCCAGCTCCGCCTTCCAGCTTTTTGGGTGAAGAATCCTCAGGCCTGGTTCTCGCTGCATAACCACACAGGAATCCCGTTACTATCATGCGGTTTCTGCCCTACCCCCCGAAGTGGCCAATGAGCTGGATGACGTCCTGGCGCTTCCTCCTCCGGAGAACGCCTACGACCACATCAAGGAAATTATCCTCGCCAGGAAGACAGCATTCGAGGCATCGCGGATACAACAGCTCCTGACCACCGAGGAACTGGGCGACCGGCGACCCTCCCAGTTGCTTCACCGCATGCGCCAACTTCTAGGTGAGCAAGCTCCTGATCAGAACCTCCCAATTCTACGGGAACTGTTCCTTCAACGCTTGCCTCAAGGGATCCGCATGACCCTTGCACCAGCTACGGACCTACCACTAGATCGCCTTGCCGAAATGGCGGACCGCGTTGCCGAATATGCTGCGCCAACCATGTCATGCGTTACGGACAACGACCACCAGTGCTGCTCCATCCGAGCCCTTGAGGCCCACGTTGACGCTCTAACAACCACCATCGCAGAACTCAGCACAACGCGTAGACACCCATATCGTCCGCCATGTCATAGTCCGTCTCGACGCCGCAGTTCTCCTCGACGACGCGATTCTTCGCAACAACGCGCTAGCGATTCCTGCTGGTACCACCAGAAATTCGGCAACCGAGCTTTGAAGTGCCAACAGCCATGCAATTGGCAGGGAAACGCCCCGGCCAGTCACTAGAAGTGGCGAGTGACGCTGGCCCAACAGCAAGCCATCTCTTTTTCATTACCGAGAAAATATCTGGAATACGCTTGCTAGTTGACACCGGAGCGGAAATGTCCATCCTTCCGCCAACGCCAGCTCAAAAACGACACCCATTATCCGGCCGCCACCTAGTTGCAGCAAATGGCTCAAACATCCCTACCTACGGAATGCGCTCTGTGACTTTGGACTTGGGGCTACGCAGAATTTTTCGGTGGATCTTCACCATCGCCGACGTGGATCTTCACCATGGCCGACGAGAGTAAGATTTGGGTTTTCGTTGGACGTGGAAGATTTGTTTTATTCTATTCCCCATGATAAACTGTATGCAGCAGTAAGCGATTGCATTGATGCCAACGGAAGGGTTAATTTTCAGAACAACTGCGGAACAACAGCAGAGGCATTCTTAGAACTCCTGAGATTCTACCTCTGTTCCAAAGCAGTCTCCTTCGATGGAAATTCCTACTTACAGAAGAGAGGAATCTGCATAGGTTCCTGCGTTGCACCTGTTTTATGCGACGTTTATCTGTCACATTGTGATCAGGCTATTGCTAAGAATATTTCAACCAACCAAGTCTCGCGTATCTTTCTATATGTCGACGATTACCTGGTTCTCCTCCCTTTTCGTCCCGATGAATGTGACAGTCATCCTATCGACAGTGTGCGTGCCACATTTCTGGAACAAGCTGAACAGCTCAACTTTACCATTGAGGTACCAACGGACGGCATCCTACAGTTTTTAGAACTGCAGATTACTTTCAACAAGAACCAGACCTGCTGCATGTACCACCCACGTTTAAAAAACGGCTATTGCGCTATGACTCATCCCATTCCAAACTTGTAAAGCGAGGCATAGTGTCTAATTGCTTAAGCATGGCGCTAAACAAGTCATGTGAGCACAGAGCAAAATCAAGCTTCGAATTACAAGTGGCTCGTTTGAAAGCTTCGGGGTACCCCTTTCCAGTTCTGACTGACATCGCCGAGAAGTTATTGACAACAAACAAAAGAAGAGAAAAAATAAAAGAGAAGAGACGCCGTCCGGCTGTGGTGCCTTACATCCACAAGATTTCGCACAACATGAAGAAGATAGCATCCACGTTAGAAGTCCAAGTCGTCCTGTCGGCACCGGATAAATTAAAGCGAATGTGCCCAAAAATCAACAATGTCAAGCAACAACATTATGAATGCAACATAAACCACAAGCACCAGTATGTCGACTGCAACAGCAGAGTGGTGTATGAAATCCCTTTCACATGCGGGAAAGTGTATATAGGACAGACTGGACGTTGCATAAACACACGACTGAGAGAACATGCCCTGATCCTGCAGTCAACACCTTCTGGACATTTAGCCATGCATGTGCGAGATTGCTCCTGCACACCTTTGCTTTCAAACACAAAAGTGATCAGACGTTTTAAAGAAAAGAGGAACAGGGAAATCTATGAAGCACAGACCATACAAGCCAATGGAGAAAAATGCGTCTCCGCACCATCTTCGGCGTTGACGGACAAAGAGGTTCAGTACTTGAACCACTATACATAATCACGTTTGCACGTGAGCGCGTGAGGTGGTGCACCGGGTGGGTCTATGCGCTCGCGCCGGTATAGCTTTGGCTGTGGTCCCTGTTGGATGTGAAAAGGTAAATAAGCTGTACGAGGCACTGATCGGCGGCCTTTGGACGATCACTCTTTCCTTTTTTTTTCTATTAATTTTATATCCAATTTTTTATTCTCAATTTGTCTCCCACGGTCCGGGGTTATTTTCTACGCCTTCAGAATAGTATCGTATAGAGTTCAAAATCATTACCTTTGTTTAATTTTTACTAATTTCGTTTTGGTCTGATGCGTTTTAATCTTTCTAGTCTAACAATCTTCTTAGAGCGCCCGGTTAGAAAAAGACCTATTTTTTCTTCTTTTTTCAACTCCAGACACTTCCCTCACCTTCTTCCTTAACGTTGTATATAAAACCGTCAGTTGTGAGTTAGCGCCTGTCCTGTCCACTTCTTCGTCTGTCCTCGTCCTAGCGCTATTTGTAATTTAATTATGTATAACCAACTAGCCCGCCAGAATATTTTAATTCTTGTCGCACTTCGACCTAGACGTCAGCGTGCACCACCGATGTCTCATTGACAACAAGACTCGTTTCGTTGTAAATGGTGTAGCCACAAACCAGACTTCCCTTGGGATCAAAAACATCCTCCCAGCTTCAGGATTCGCAGACATCCTCGGCGCATTCCCGGAAATTACAAAGACCTCCAACATGGCAAAGCCACCGCCACATGGGGTGACGCACCACATCATCACCTCTGGCCCGCCTACCTTTGCACGCCCTCGACGCCTATCTGGCGAATGCCTCAGGATAGCCCGCCAAGAATTCGAGCATATGCTCGAGTTAGGCATCATCCGGCCATCCAACAGCGCTTGGGCAATGCCTCTACACATGGTGCCCAAGAAAGATCCGGGCGACTGGAGACCCTGCGGGGATTACCGGGCACTCAACTCACAAACCCAACCTGACTGGTACCCACTACCCCATATCCATGACTTTACTGAACATCTTGCTGGAACATCCATCTACAGCAAGATCGATTTAGTCAAGGCGAACCATCACGTTCCAATCTAATCAGAGGACATCCCGAAGACGGCCATCACTACTCCCTTCGGCCTATTCGAGTACATCCGGATGCCTTTTGGATTGCGAAATTCCGCCCAGACATTTCAGGAGGTTCATCCACGAAGTTCTATCTGGGTTACCTTTCGTTGTTGCTTACGTGGATGACCTGTTGGTGGCGAGCAAGTCACACGAAGAACACAGCACACACCTGTGCTTGCTTTTTGAACGACTCCGCGACTGCGGTCTTACCATTAATGTGACGAAGCGCGTTTTTGGCGTGACATCCTTAGATTTTCTGGGGCACCGCATGACAACCACGGGCATCGAACCCCTTCATTCCAAGGTGCAAGTCATTCGTGACTACCCACAACCGCAATCTCTACACAAGCTGCGGGAGTTCCTAGGGCTCATCAACTTTCACAGGCACTTCATTCCACACTGCGCTCAACCATCAAGCCCCTACCGACTTGCTCCGCGGCCCCAAGAAATCTTCGACGCCAATACCATGGACGCCAGATGCGGAGGTTGCCTTCACCGCGGTCAAGAATGCCCTGGCTGAGGCCACACTCCTTGTGCACCCCATGCCAAACGCACCAACGCATGTCATGGTCGACGCGTCCGATGTCGCCGTAGGAGCAGTGCTTCAGCAATACGGCGATCATCAGTGGCTCCCACTGGGTTTCTTTTCCCAAAAACTCAACCCAGCCGAAACACGGTACAGCACGTCTGGACGCAAATTTTTTGCAATCTACGCAACCATCCGCCACTTCCGGTACTTCTTAGAAGGCTGAGCTTTCCACGTGCTCACCGACCACAAGTCACTGATCTACGCATTCGTCAGCAATCACCACTCCTACTCCACCAGAGAAATTCGTCACCTGGCCTACATATCGGAATTCACTACCGATCTCCGCCATGTCGTTGGAGCGCAAAACATGCCAGCAGATGCACTTTCCCGCATTGACGCCATCTCCTCGTCTCCTGTTGTCAATTTCCCGGAATTGGCCTTGGCACAACTGGAAGACACCGAGCTACAAGATCTACAGGCATCTTCCACATCCCTTCAACTACAACCCGTCAGATTACCACTGGCCACCTGCGAGATCATCTGCAATGTATCTACCTCCACACCACGACCCTATATTCCAGAAAAATTTCGGCAAGCCATCTTCCACACTATCCATGACCTAAATCATCCCGGTATCCGTGCTACGCAGCGTCTCGTTACATCACGGTACGTCTGGCCCCGAATGAACTCTGACATCCGTCTGTGGACGAAAACATGCAACAGATGTCAACAATCTAAAGTGCTTCGCCACACAAAAACACTAACGCACACATTTTGTCCACCGGATGCCAGATTCGATCATGAACACATTGACATAGTAGGCCCCCTACCATCATCAAACGAATTTCGATACATACTCTCATGTGTGGACAAATTTACACGATGGCCAGAGGCCGTTCCGCTCGCCGACATCACAGCGGAAACAGTCGCTCACGCCTTCATCTCCATCTGGATCGCGCGTTTCGGCTGTCCGTCGACCATTACAACCGACCGCGGCCGACAATTCCAATACGCCTTCTTCACAGCCCTCACCAAGATATTGGGTGTCAGACACGTGCACACAACAGCCTATCATCCTGCTGCCAATGGCCTGGTTGAAAGGCTGCATCGACAGCTCAAAGCAGCGCTAATGACAAAAGAAGATCGAACCCATTGGGTTAATCACCTTCCTCTTGTCCTTCTTGGAATTCGTGCCACTTTCAAAGCCGACATCGACTGCACCTCAGCTGAACTCGTTTATGAAACCACACTTCGATAACCTGGAGAATTTCTAACCTGCATACCCTCTGAACCGACGGACATCCCATCATACCTTCAGGACATGAAGACATTTTTCAATTCCCTGCGTCCAGTCTCACCTAGACACTCAAACTCTTGGCACATATTTATTAGTGACGATCTCAATACATGCAAACATGTACTCGTAAGAAGGGACGCAGTACGACCACCTCTTACGCCACCGTATGATGGTCCATTTGAGGTACTTTCACGAACGGACAAGACCTGCACCATCGACATCAACGGGCGCCACGTGTCATCACGCTGGACAGAGTCAAGCCAGCATACTTGGCCTCTACAGTGACAGCCCCCGTCATTATGCCCGTTCCACCACCTAGTGCAACAAACACCACCACCTCCCGTCCTCCACACCCGCCAAACAAAATCGTTACGTGGAGCTCAACGAAACTTTCTGCTCCACGCCACTAGGGGGGGGGGGGGGGGGATTCTGTAGAGTCGCAGCTCTTAATACCTGACTCAAACAAAAAGAAATACTTCGTGCTCTGAATGAAAACAATGGGCGCGCCACAGAACCGAGCACAGCGAGCGCGAGTTGCTCGTGCAGACTGTCGCTCTGGCTCGCTCAGTAGATCTCGGGAGCCGGTGTCACAACAATAAAAAGAAGAAGAGATGCCTTTCGCCTAAGCTCCGGGCCGGACGTCTCAAATTCTTTTCCGGCAACTTCGAACACCGCCGACAAGATGGTGATGACATTTGGCTCAATATTGGCGATGCCAACGCCATGGCCTTGACTGCACTCTTGGTTGCCCCTCGATTCGCCCGCTAGAGTCAGCTGATTTCGGCAGCTTGGCGCGTTGCAAAGTTTGCCAGACCGTTTAAGAAACATTTAGACAGAACTAGGTTGTAATATTTGACATGTTTGACATGATACTGAAGAGGCCTACATTGTTTGTTTTTTTTCAAAAACGAAAATGAAGTGGAGTTGCCCTTCAACAAGCAACTCTGAAGACCTGCAAGTGCACTGGGCTGAGGGTAAGGCCCTAGAGGAACAAAACGGCTAGACAAAATGTGTGAGCATTCAATTGCCAAAGCAGCCCTCACCTTGAGGTGTGGCAGATGGGCAATGTATGGGTGCTTGAACAGGGTCATGTAGACCCCCTTGAGAAGGTTGCGAGCTGCTTCCCAGTCAACCAGCCTCTGCAACGTTGGGACAGAGTGCTTCAGTATCCATCTTGTGTATTTCTAAGCATGAAATGCTCACGGCTGGCCTTTAGATCATCAACCTATGCACAACGCCTACATTCTTTTTCAAGTTCAAGCAGACATTAAAATAGAAGGCAGGAAGGCTAAACTCTGCTTATCTCTAAGTGATTTCAAAACCTGGATTTTAGTTTGAGAATTGGCTTCAGACGCTGCTCCAATCTGGACTTTGGCTTGCCTGGCTTTTAACCGAGACGCTTTGGCATCCAGTAACACTGACATGAAAAGGGACCACACAAATTTTCCAGTTTAACGAGATTCAACTACCATAGTACTTTTCTTTGCACGTCCCAGGAACCTGGAAGCAAGCATGAAAACCTTGCACCTAATATTACTTTGCAAGCAACTCGGAGGGTTGCTTGCAATATTCAGTGGGTCTGGTGCATTACCAGACCCACTGAACAATGCTTTGAATTTTCTTTTACCGCAGCCCCTGCTGCAACGCACGCTCTCTTCACTGAAGAAGGGGGAGGAATCGCCCTAGTAGAGAAGGCCCATGCATTATGTTATCATTTGTGTATCCCTGACGTGCCAGTGGCAGATGCATGCATCTGGTGCTGCTGCCTGCTACCGTGGCGCTCGTCGTGAGGCGCTGCAAGACGAGCTTGCGGCAACGCGTTTCACTCGTCACTTTACCCCCCTGACCAAGCCGGGCAGAGGCTGAATTGGGGCCGCACCCGTATGGCCGGCTTCTTGGCGATCTTGGTGAAGGTCTTGTCGAGCCGGCGTATGACCATAATGAGTGCCGGGCGCATGGCCTCCTGGGCCCACTCCGACTGCGGGAGCACCTCGTTGAGGTAGCGCCGCAGGCCCCGGCACGCCATCGTCTGGGGGTCGTAAGGGGCCATCTTGAGCAGGCTGTGGGCCACTTCGGCTAGTCGCTGCAAGATGCAGGGAAAAGCCAAGCCGGGGTGAGTTGGCTGATCGGTGCGGGTATCTCTCGACACAATTGACCGTTGGGCTACCTGGTTACCCATCACGAAAATCAAAAAGCGCAAAGCTTGTCTTTGTTATGGGGGCTTTGCCGCGCAACGTTGGCTCCAAGGAGACATTTTTTAGAACCAGCAAAGGCTGTACAACGGTGCTGCTATACCGTAGGGTTATCACAGGATTAGTTCCCTAGCACGGGCCATTAGCTCACGAAGGAGTGTCAGCAGACAGCACTGCTGTTGGCAGTTGAGAACTGTATGCACAGCACATTACTGTGAAGCCCAAAGCCCTCAGACGAGGAAGGTCTATCACAGCGAAAATAAGGCGAGGAAAAAAGTGTCTAGAGAGTCGGTATATATTTTGAAGTTCAACATTGCGTGACGTCCTGGCAGAATGATTGCGTACCTATTTGTGCTGACCTTATTTTGGTGGAGACGGACTTTGACCTTGCATCTTTGAACTTATGCTCCACGGTTACATTTGAGGATATGGGGTGTTCGCTGACCTTGAGAGATCTGAATGGGTTACTACTTTTGTTCTCGTTTAGATTTTTTTTGTCTGAACGAACTTTTTTGTAAGCAAAACAATTTTCTTTTGTTATTTCCATCGTTTTCCTTTCGCATGCCAGTACTTCGATTTTGGGGTTGCGGAAAGTGGGGAGGAAATATGTCAGCAAAGTGAGGTGTCTTTCCCTTCTTTGTTTTACTTTGTCATGGACGTCCTCCAACCATATGGTCCATGGCTGTGTCATGTTGGTAGGATGAGTAATGGAATAATGTTTGTGGATCGCAGAGTTCGCGTTGGGGCATTTTTAGGGGTGGGTGAACACTGTGTTTTTGTGGAAATCACTATCCGCCTCAAAAAGAGGTGGGCAATGACTCGGGAATGGAACATGGCCCTCAATATTACGGTAAATTTTAAAAAATATGATATGGACCAGGGATGGGCAAAATACATGCAAATATGTATTGAAATACAAATACAAAATACTTCGTCAAAAATGTATTAAATTACAAATCTAATTACATTTCCAAAAAAACATTTAAGTACAAGATACAAATACAACCAAATGTATTTGGTCTCCTCCAAATACTTTTCCGAATACATTCCTCAAAATTTGCGTCAGCGACTTAAGGGCACCTGCAACGGGTTTCTGGATATCTCATTTTAATTTTGCATCGCACACTCTGGAGTTAGTGTGCGAGGCTCTAGTAACGTGACAGAAACATAATCACAAAAAAATTTACTCAGCTTGGACGTAATAGGTGAAAAAAGTACAGAGCTTCAAGCAGCTTTTTTTGTCGATTACATTTTGGTATAGACAAACAAAGAACCGAGACGACCAAGACGCGCAGCACTAACCAGAGAATTTTTTATTGTTGCAACTCGCACCAGTTACAAAAATCTGGACGACCCGCGCATTTAGAATGTTCCAGGCAAAAGTATGGATGGAAATCAGGCTGGAAAGCATCACAAGTTGTCACAGGCACTTATTTAGTCAGTCTGCCTGTGAACGTCGATTTCGTCACTATTCTTGCCCTGGACTAGCACCGTAACCACGAAGTCACTAAACGCTTGTGCTTGATTTAGAGACACTGCATTCGGTGCAGAACATAGTTTTCTTCCTGCTCTGGACACGTCTTAGGATGAGCAAATTGAGTCGTGACAAAAAATTTGAGGGATGTATTTTTGCCAACAAAATTGTATTTTATTACAATTGTATTTGAAATACCCTCGTTTTAGTATTTAAATACACACGTCAAATACATTACCCAACTTGTAATTAAATACAAATGCAAAATACACAAAGTATCTGAAATACGCATTTCAAATACTTGTATTTGAAATACTGCCCATCCCTGATTTGGACCTTCATTGCACAATCTGACGTGAAAACAGCCTGTATAGACAAAAGCAAATAACAGCCTAACTTTATGCCGTACACCCAGGTAGGTAAGGAGCGCAAATTCACTCTTATTCGTAAAGCCACGATGTCAGTAACGCCAGGATAATGAGTGGAAGCGAATGGCTGGCATAGTATAATATGAATCCTCTTGAGGGGCATTTGCTGCTGAATTCTTAACCTCTCATTGACTACAGCATGGGTATTAAAACTGGGCTCCTAGAAGCCATAGGGTTCTCCGAGATCCCAGATTTCCTTGGTTGCCCCAGGCCTCCAAGTGTTCTCCCAGTTTAATCAAGCTGTCCACTGATGCATAACTATGTGCCCAGCATTCTCTAATATGTGCATTGTTCTTCCCAAAGACTATGGGCTTCTGCGGCATTCCATAGCATCAATGACAAGACTAGGAGGGGTTACTCGGCTACCGTGCGACAGAGATAAGAATTTCTCAAGATGAAAAAGTTTCAGAACTCCTCGGGCCTCAAACTCCTTAAACACAAAGTTGGGGACAGAGTTTACGGAGTGCACCGATCAAATCCTTGAGACAATTACGGCACACTTTTGTCTCCGAAGACCAATCGGCGCGCTACGCCAACTTTCGGCTTCAACTTCGTGTTTGATGAGTCTGGAGCCTCTGGGCTGTGGCAGCACCCCAAACATGCAAACCGAAAAGATACCCGGCAGCTGCGTCCATGTGACACCACCCAGGATGCAAGGCTTGCGCTTTCCCCCCAACATCTCCAGTTGAACCACGCAGCCCCGCCTAGCTTGCGTCAGCAACGCTGCCAGTGCGTCTCGTAACGAGCGTGACGCCAATGGGCAGCGACGCCAAGACGAAATTGACTGCCACTTTTCTGCATCTCTCGTCGAGCATTGGCGTGCCTGCCACTCGGGGCAAGTCGGCAGTCTGCTAATGATGATGTCGTGCAGAGGCCTCATCTTCCGGGTGGTATTGTGCCGCAAAGGAGGACCGAGCGGGCGACCCACCAGGTGACACTTGACGTCGAGCAACTCGGTGGCCTTGCTGGGCAGGTCCGGGATCTTCTTGCTGAGGTCGGCCAGGCGGGCCGAGCACTTGGTGAGGAACTCGGCCACCACGCACAGGAGAGTGTCCCTCGGCTGGCGGAACTCCAGTCGCACCAGGTCGCTGTCCTCGTCCTCCCCACGCTCGTAGCCCAGGGCGGGCTTGCGCGCCCCGTACAGTGTCTCGTTCACAAACCTGCAGGGGGGACCGAGCGTGGCCTCACCCTAAGTGTCCTAGATAACGAGAAGGTTGTACCAGATTTTTTATCTGACACACCACGGGCCAGCGCAGGGCAGGTAATGCAGAAGCTCGAAATGAAATGCATTGCAAATGTTTGTGTGCGACATTGGAGGAAGTCTTTATCTATCCATGTCTTTGCCCCAAACACAGCACCAAATGGTGGGGTTTTGGCTTACCCTATTTCGAGTGTCGACAGAGCTGCTTTCAGTAGTAAACACCAGAAAGCGTCGTTCCGTTATCTATATCATTTTTCAGGGGCGAAGCTCCTTAGGGTCTAGCCTTGTCTGTCCGGCGTCCATGCTCACATCGATTGCCATCCCATCTGTCTTCTTAAAAAAAGAAAAAATGTTTGCCCAGTCGACAGGATTCGAACCTGTGCGGGGAGACTCCAATGGATTTCTAGTCCATCGCCTTAAAGGGCAACTCCGCTTAATATCAAAAATTTTGAGATAGTGGCCGATTTTGCTTTTTGAAGCACTCAAAAACAATCCCCAATCCTTTGTTTCGCGAAAAATAAAATATTTTTCCTGTAATTTTACTCTAGCCATGATCACAAACCGAAACCAAAACGGTGGCAAAGCCGGACAACATTGTATATTCGGCATCACTAAGCATGTACACCCACGTGATATACAAGGGGAAGAAGAAGCTCCCCTCTTATCAGGATCCTCCTTTGTGCCTCCTGGATTAGCACAGGCGTCGCTATTCTCCTCCCAGAAGATTATAGAAGATTAACCTGTCACTCAAAATTCTTACAAAAGCAGCTTCCCTCTCCTCCTTTTACTTGGTGTTCAAAAGTATGCGACGTAACACAAGCCGCGCTCAACGAGGCGATCGGCTTATCAGTAGTATCAATAGACCTTTACTGCAAGTGCGCCGCCATCTTGAATTGACGTCACTTCCAGTATGGGCGAAAAAATTGTTTTGCCTTTGCCACGCCAATAGAAGGCATTTCGGATATAAGCGTAACCGTCACACTTTCTCTTTTTGCCTCCCCTTTATTTTTTTACTATTTGCAGGTTGAAACGTTGGATTATTTTTTCGTCGCCCATACCGGATACGCCTATTAGGAGGCTGGGGGCGAGAGTACACAAAAAAGGTCTATAGTCGAGCGCCGGGCCGGCCGAGCGCGTCACTCACGTCTTTCACGGCGCTGGCGCCACCCGTGCTCTCCCCGAGAAAAAAAACAAAATTGAAAAAAAAAAAAAAAGAAGCTGTACATGTTTGATGACGTCGCGGACGTGCCGGGAGAAGGAATTTAGAGGAAGCGGAAATGCAGCCGGGCAGTGTTGTTTGGCCCGCACGTCTCATCCAAAACCAGCGGATTCGTGCTTGTCAAACTTTGACAGCGATTTTAATGAACTTCTAGGCGGAATTCCGTCGTAATATTTGCCATGGGGGTTTTGTAGATGATAACAAAGAGAACTGTATAGTTTTGCACTACTGGAAAAGAAGCGGAGTTGCCCTTTAAGGGGAGACACCCCCTGGGAGGGTCAATTTTTGAACCCTTGGCTTAAAATTAATGAAATTTGCAGGGTAGGCTGGTGGTCATGCTAGAGGGTGCATAACAAAATTTTAGGTCTGTCGGACAATTGGGAAGGAAATTAGGGCAGCTTCTATCAGCAACACCCCTACACTGTTTAGTTAATCTATCGTCAGAAAACTATCACAATACAGTGTAGACCACTTACAACGTAACCGCTTATAGTGCAGGACCGGGTATAACGGAGTTTTTTTAAACCACCGGTTCGCCTCCCATAGAACTCCATGTAATTACATACCGCTTAAAACGCAGGCGCGCGACGGGAAATACCGGTTATAGTGCGGTTTCTGGCACAGCCCGCCGACCGCGCCGCCGACCGGAGCAGCGAGCACGCTTGCCTGTGCGACACTAGATAACGGCGCTGACGGCGCGAGCCGCAAGCGTTGCGCAAGCGGCACTCGCGGGGCAAGGAGGGTGCTCGAAGAAGCGGGAGAAGCGAGGAGAAAGGCTTCAGTTGCCCTAGCGACGGAGGGACGCACGCACGTGTCGTTCACGTGCGTGCGTCCCTCCACTGCGTTGGAAACCAACAACCGCAACGACAGGAGAAGTGTTCGCGCGCGTTGCATGCTTGTCGCGGGCCGGCTGCTTCTATCCGCGAACAAGGCGTCGGTTGTGATTAACTTTGTGATCGTCGTCGTAGACGGCGTTCATCTCATCGTTCCGCGTAAAAGCGCTATCCTTGAGTGTGAATTTTCGTCGTGTGTCGCTATGATAACCCGGCACGTATCCACCTACTCGAGCGGCGATGTCGTGGCGGCGCTCGAGTCGGCAGAAACGCCCGTGCCGTCGTGTTTGTTTACTTCGACTACAGTGGTGATTTCTAAGCATTTGTGTCCTCGAACATCGCCCGGATTTCTTATTTGGCGCATGAAATGCGTGTGCTCAAGCGCAAGGTATTACTGGCGCGTACCGTATGAAGGATGCGAATTTTCACGCGTTTTCATCTCCGGAGAAAAGTGATTAGGGTTAGCAATCCTGAACGCTCGCAACATCCGTCCGCAACCCGCGACGCCGCTAAGAGGCTGCGCCAGGCAAAAGCCGCTCATTTGTTTCAAAATGTGTGACACACTTGAGAGGCTTGAGAGAGAAGTGTACTAGTCTGGTGAAATAAAGACTTTCCTCAAACTAAGCTTTATTTTTCATCTAACGTAGAAATAAATTCTTTTACAAAGGTAAGTTGTCTGATGGCATGTATTTTGGCCTGAAAAATTGATGTTTTGGTTATAGTGCGGTACCGCTTATAGTGCGGATTTTCGCGACTCCCGCGACATACGTTATATGTAGAGCACTATATAGCTCCTACGGAGCAGAGTAGCGCAATCCTTTGAACCCCGTGTTTTGCCGACAACATGGCCGACAGAGCGGCTCGGCGCGAGTCACGTGGTACTCAGGGTTCCAGAAGGCAGCCCGCCCTATGGGAGAATACATGGAGATCGACATAACACGGCTGATTAAAAAACTAACGGCGAGTTCAAATTTTTCAAAACTAGCCTGTCGTGAAGTTAGTAAAGCGCTAAACACTTTATCAAAGTTTTAATAATATCGGATGCGTGTGCAAATTTTGAGAAGGCAATTTCCAAGGCAATGGCGTTTGAAGCAGACGATTTTTGCTCGCAGCGGAGATGGGCTTTTCGGGTTGGCCGGAGCGGGTCACGTGAATGGTGTGACGTCGCCGTGTCGTCTGCTGCATGATGCCGCTCAGGCAATTTTTTAAAAAAAGTTACGTCCTTGTATGGCACAAAACCTATCGCATATTATTCTAAAATGTTTCATTATTATGTCAAAAATGATTTCCATTCCGAAAATCCCCACAAAACTGAAGAAACAACGATTTTCTCACGTTCTCCATGCATTTCTGACCGCAGTTGGAACCTCCGGGCGTTCGCCGCTAGTCGCCGAGAGACGGCGTTCTAGATTGCGCTACTCTGCTCCGAAGGAGCTATATAGTGCTCTAGTTATATGCGGTCTACACTGTATTAAAGATTTTTATTCGCTAGGTATGTATCAGAATGCCTAAAGGGTGCGCCTATGGAAAGGTTTTTGTAAAAAGTAATTGATTTCTATCAATTGTCTCTTCTGCGAAATTGGTCAACTTTTTGGTCTTCTGTGTCTCCGACAAAATGTCAACATTTTTTTATAAAAGACATCCATAAAGTGAAAAACAAACTCCATAGGCGCATTCCTTATTAAATTTCAGTCTGGAAAAGTGAAGAATGAGCCTTGCTTGTATTTCCAGTCTCAAACGATAGATTGACTAAAATGGAATTTATACAAAAAAGTGGAATGGAGAAAAATGTGTTCAAAGTGCTTCAAACCCTACCTTTCCTTTAGCTTTGGTGGACAGAAAATAATTTATAAAAAATTAACTATGAAGTGTAAACTAGTGAAAATTTCTGGGAATACTCTCTGGGTGTAGATGGATGTAAATATGTAATTTTTCAAAATCAATGTTTTTTGAAGAATCTTTTTTTCTCCGGGTAGTGTCCCCCCTTAACCACTCGGCCACGACTGCGGGACGAGTTGGGGGCTCTGAGATGTGGTAGTAACTCAAGAGCTCGGGTTTCTGTCGTAGATGAAACGTTGCATGTAGTCGCTCAACGTCTATACAGGAGAGGGCGCTGCAGTCAAATGCGTATATAAATTGCATTAAACTTTGCGTGCATTGGCTCAACGTTTATAGACGAGAGGGCGCTGCGGTGAAATGTTCAACTGCGTATACAACCACGTTCCATACCACACACTCTCTTTCTGACATGGATGAAAACGAACGAAAAGCTCAGCATGCTGCAGCTCAGCGTATGAGCCCCACCAGAGCTTTGCTCCAATCAACATCATTCACCACGTGGAGATGCAGTCATTTTCTTGCTATTAACCCCTTTTGCTTAACATTCCACAGTCACATTCCTGGAGGTTGAGTGTTCGCTGCCGTCTCGATCCAAGAGTTGGTTACAGCTTGTGTGTTAGCAATTTTTCCTTTTCTTTGTTTTACTGAAAACGGACTTGCTCAAGTTTATTGACAAAACAAAGCTTTATTCTGTTATCTCTTATCACTCTTCTTTTGCACAGACGTCCTCCGACCTTGGGCTCGCCTTAATCAGGGAGGATGCATAGACAAAGTAAAGTTTCTTTGTCGTGGATGTCCACCAACCTTATGGTCTCCGATTTCAACGTCGGAAGAGAATGGGTGTTTGCAGATCACAAGGTTCACGAGGTATTTGAAGGGGTGGGCGATGACTCCAAGTCGTTTTGGAAACTAATTCATTTACTTTGCCCAGAAAGTCGGGTGCGTGATGAATTGGTGTTGGGCAATGACTGAAAATATTACAGTTATTTGTTCAGACTAATAAATCGGGATCCTAATAAAGCGAGTTACCCCGCACATTACCAGGCGATGGCCTTACGAAGCACGAGTGTTTAGCACCTTCTAGACAGCAAGGCCGTACCGCTAGATATTTTATGCTCTACCAAACGCTAGTACAGGGCACAAATCGAGCACAAGTGCTGCGTCAATGTTCGGCCAAGACTTGCGTTCAATCCCACGAGTCCCAGCTTAATGATGAAGCAGAAATTGTTTCCAATCTTTGTACCGAACTGACCCCACTATATGACATAAAAATTCAGCAGTATGGTCTTGCTGTCTAGGCTGTTGGTACATTGCGCAAACTGCTGGCATCAAATTATACCGGTTCCGAAATTTGAGTTTAAGTGTTATCAACTGCATTGGAACTGCTTGTGACCGCTTACAATGACAGAGTGCACTGGTACCACCTATCGGATTGCTCTGGAACACTTTCGATGTATGCATATTGTTGGTATATCATGTTGTGTTGTTAATGTACATCATGCTGGTACATCATGTGAACTAACACCATGATAGATGGTGTTAGTGTGTTCTCTCGTTGTAAGCTGTTGCAAGCAATTAAAACGGAATCGATCACACTCGAAAGCATTTGTGCGAGCCAGCCTGGAAGTAGGCACTGAGTCAGGCTTCGAGTGCAGCTGTCTCACCTGGACGGCAGGTCCTCCTCGACTTCGAAGGGAGGCGAACAAGCACCTCGTGAGGCATTCTTGATGCTAGAACCCCTCAGGTCAATCGCTTTCTGAGGCCCCGTATAGTTCCTGCAGAGAACAAGGTAAGAATTAAAACTGACAGGCTGCCTTTCGCCTTGGCTCCGGCTGTCTCAGCAAAATAAATCGCCGAGAATGGGCAATAAAACTTTGCAGTCGTATTTCAAACAATCGATTAAATCGCCATATGCGGAATTGTGTTTTATGATAGATGCAGTGGATGCTAAATCCAATCTTGGCCTTCCGGGCATGCAATGCCATGTCTAGCACTACTACGTCCCCCTTTTCTAATATTCATTTTCTTTTTTCTCGTTGCTTTTTGGAAGCTTTTGCAACTGCCAAACCTTCTCGAAGTGTCTCAAAGTCTTTTTTTCCTGCCGCTTCAATTATTTTTCTTTGCAGTTGTTTCGCGTGATTGGCAGAAGCTTAGGGTACAGTTGTTTGGCAGGTGGCTAAGAGTTAAATGATTCTAAACTTTTTTGTAGGCATGGGCGAATAGAGCATTTGGGGTCCGAATCGAATTCGAAGCGAATAGTGATTTTGATCAAATAATTTCGAATCAAATAGTTCAAATAGTACAAGCAAAAAATACCGCAAGATATGTTTAAACTATAGTTTTATATTTTCCCTTATTTGGCATTAGATATACTGTAATTGTTAATTCCAAGTGTATTGAGTTCGGTAGCACGAAAGAGTCAAAACGGTCAGAAGCTTGCGCCACCTGGTTGTAAATCCAAGCCAGAGTAAGTCAAACCCGTTTATATCCAACTCACAAAGATAAGTCTACCAGTTCGATATAGCAGGTAATTCTATATAAAAGTTTTAATGAATTTGACTCTCAAAAATCCACTTTCTGCTGAAATATTACACAATGAAGTAGTCTTGCATCTTCTGCTGCTTTTTCTTCATTGCAACCGCGATAACGATATTTTTCTACACTATCGACGGACTCCAAAATGCTGAGGCCGTTGCCTTCTTTATTCGCGCATTAGCGCCGAACTATGCCGAGAGCACGGAGCACGTCCAACGGGACCACCTTCTGCAGAGCGCCGCTTTGCTCTGCAAGTTGGCTTTACCCTAAAACAGGTGGTTGTGTTGGGGGAAGCCAACTAACAAAGCAAGCTGGCTTTTTTTTTTTTTTTCTTTTTTTTGGGCGGTTGCGTCAATTTGGAAGAAAAAATATGGAATTGTAGTAGACCGTTTTTTTCTCCTCCGCCCATGGCGGAGGAGAAAAACTGTGCAGATGAGGCTGGCGGCGCGCAGCTGCGCATGCGCGCCGCCAGCCTTATTGTCGAATACTTAAATTCGATTCGAAGTGAATGCCGAATAGAACAGAATTCGATTGGCTATTCGTAATAACCGAATATTCGCCTATTCCTACTTTTTTGCCTAAATTCTGTCTAGAATTTTACGCCCATTTGTTGTGTTACACAACAAAAATAAAACCACACTTAATTTGCGTCCCTCTGGAGTCATTAGAGGGGCCACAGCATGCTCAGTCCCCCCCGCTGTGCACGCCTATGGCTGCCAGATAGGTTAGTTGAGCTTCCCTCTGCTCACTAATTTTTTTTTATGAATTGATGTTATCATTGTTGCAACGAATTACTGTTACTGCTGAGCAGCGCTGTCTCGTTTTTGGTGGATGCGACAAGCTTCAATACACCTTAGTCCTATCAAAATACATTTAAGTTCAATGGTGAAGCAATGTCACTGTGATAATTTTTCATTGGTGAAGAGCTATCCGGTATAAATTGTTATCTGGACATACGACACACGATGTCAACGTGCAGTATGCATTCCCAAACTCGGAAAGTGGATGATGCAGCCCTGCGTTCATCGGCACTTACCTGGACGGAAGTGGAGTAAATTTAAGACGCCAGTATCATTGCGTTTTGTAAAGAGGATACCAATGTATGGAAGTTGGGATAACATCCACTTCAACTGAAGAAAACATGTTTTCAAAAGAGCGTTGGAGACCTTGCGGCGGCGTCTCACACCGTTAATGCCTCGCTGGCGAATGTTAGCTTGCATCGCCTGTGAAGCGGGTGCCTGAAGGCACGATCGAAGAGGCTCATCGTTAAAAATAATTTCTCAACAACAAAAAGTACTTTTTTAATATTTTAAATCTTAAAGGGATACTTCAACGAAACTTGAAATATTCCTGTCGTGTTCAAAAATAGGTTGAATATGATCCACAATATCCGTAAATGACAATCGCACGCTTGTATTTTGAGCCTGGTGGCTGTATTTTTCGTTATAAACGGCCAACTCTGGCAAGCGCTCGGAGAAGGCCCAGCGGAGACCACGTGACATCCAACGCAACCATGACGTAGGTCGTCTCAGGACGAGCAAAGCTAAGGCGAGGCTGACGACGAGAGGATGGCCTATTAGTTTCAGCCACCGAAGCGGCTGCTTTTGTACGAATTTTGAGTGACGGGATAATCTTCTGTAATCTTGTAGGGGGACAATAGCGACTTCTGCGACACACAAAAGGCATTCTCGGAAAGAGGGGGGTCCCCCCTGCCCCTCTTCTCTCGTCGTGGCCGGAGGCGAGACAACCTCCGTCACTAGCTGTCAAGGTTCCTGGACGGGCATTACAAGCGAGGCGTTAGCGACATCCACCAGATGATCTTTGCTAATCATTTCATTTGTTTCAAAATTCCTTTTCGTGACCTTTTTAAACAAGATATTGGTATGTTCGATGTGATGCTGCTCCTTTGAACACATATAGACCAAAAAATGAGCGCCGAAATTTCGTTGTAGTATCCCCTTAAACAGATGAGGTGGATTAAAATTTTGACGATTTTGAAAGTTCCGGGCAGTGATGCCCATATTACTTTTAATGCAAAAGCATTAACTGTTCCATGGAGTGAACGGACGCCATCAGCTTTGAAGCCACGCCAAACGTTGGCCAAACGGTACCTAAAATCCCCTTTCCCAAGTGAAGCCGAATTCTGATGGATTATGCTCCCATTGGCTGGCACGCATCATCAAGGAACCAAGCTCCCATTGGCTCTCGTGCAACGTAATTTAAAAAAAGGCCTCCATGGCGACGCAGCGCACGCAGCGGTGTGGCCGTCGGTAAGGGGAGGGAGCGGTGGCGGCAGAGCCAGAGCCTGTCCGGGCAGACTCCAGAGTGGCCGCACAGCCGAGCTCAGCGCGGCACAGCCACTTCAGAAAAGCGCGCGTTCGGCCATTCTACGACGACATGTGGCCGTCCACGCCACTACGCCACAGACGAACTAAGGGGGCGGAGTGCCTGGGTGTCCTCGGACTTTTTCTTCTACGATTTGATGTTATTGTTGTAAGCCTTTACCATTAATCTTGTTTTTTGATTTTTGCACTTGTCCTTTGCAATTTGTTTTTGCATATTTTCTTACGGCCCCCCTACTGTAATGCATCCTGGACATCATAGGTATCAAATAAATAAATAAATTGGGTGACAGCTTGGAACACATAGCCTGATGGTGGCCAGACGGACATATGCAAAAGAACCACAAAAAATAACAAAGTGAAAAACCTCAGTAAAAAGTGGGGAGGCGTGGCAGTTCTTGTTTTACTTTTCATCTCAGTTGGATCCCACGGCGAATTCCACTTGCAAAGTGATTGCTCATTGCCCTATGTCAAACTTGCTCGATTAGTCCAACACACGTATGATGGCACAAAGGTGGCAAAACACTGGCTGTCATTTATTTCTCAAACTTCTTGATCTTGAGGAATGCCCATTTAACTTGTTCAGAAGTCGGGGAACCCGTCTGGGTCTTGGCATTGATGCAGTAAAGCAGTGCAGGTGCTTACAGATCTTTTAACCAATAATTCACATACTAGGAAGCATTTGGCACATAGCTCAATGAAAGGGTCAGATTGTCTGCACTAGTGCTTAAATTGGAAGAACACTTTACTTAGGGGCAAGGACCGCCAAAGAAATTTGCGAGCTCGGGGAAGCCCCGAAGGTGCTCTGGGGAATCCCTGGGCTCCGAGGGACCCTCGCTATACATGGTTCCTTCTGAATGTGCGGGTGAGGGAGAGGAGGGCGTTTCGGTTATTAGGGGGCCTCGAGCTGCACGTGGACCCTCGATGAACCTCATGATGCTCGCAAACCGCAGCTTGGCCACCCATGACCAACCCACTGTATCGATTTTAGCAGGCTCCATAGCGGGAGGCAACATTTTTGGATCCAAGTCAGTCAACGGGCTTCCTAGAACGCCTGGCGCTTTTTCGTGCCGCGTCCACTTGGTGTAACTTGTTACGCTATCAGCACGGCCCATATGGAAAGGAGTGACGGAACCGGTGGAACGTTGGGATGCCCATTGCCTGCGGTGGAAGGTGGTTCTAGTGTGGTTTTTATGGCGAACACAAAGTTTGCACAAAAAGAGTGTCGTTCGAAAAAGGTTGTTTTCCGTTGTTCGGGAGGAGCTATGAATGCTATCTGCCCGTACCTGCTCACGTTCGAACAACAAAGAAGGACCGTTTTAAAGCGACAGCTGTTATGGGCTCTATCCACAACTGGAAATGACATCCGTTGTTGATGTTACAGTCATAATTGTTGCCGTTGTCGATGTTGTAGTCGGCCTAGTAGGGCGTCCGTAGATGTTACCAAATCCTTAAAGATCACCCGCCGCCTGTGGGAATCGAACCTGGGTCCACTGTGTGCAAAGAGGAGACGCCACCGCAGAGCTACGCCACAACGTTAACCACCCACTTTAAACTTGGGGTTCTTGTAGTACCCAGTGCCCACAGCACGTGCTCTCTGAAAAAATACTAAGAAAAAGCCGATAACAAAACGCCGTCGTAACACCATCAATGCCAAGACCTCGTGCCGGGAGACACGTTTTCACACGCTCCGGAACAAAAAAGAAATAAAAGCATTCGGAACAAAATGGTCAGATACCTATTTTGTTCCGAATGCTTTTGTTCACACATCCCATGGTGCGTGAACGTGAAGCTGATGCCCAACGACTTCGCCGTGACGTGTCCCAACTATCGTTGTGACTGCGCTGTCGATTAGCGCGGGACTGCTCAATGTTTTTTTAACATCGCTCTTCGTGGATCTTGTCATCCGACGGATTTAAGAGCGTCGATGGGAAGTGCCCACCTGGTGAGGGCTTCACAGTTGCTGATGAGTGTCTTCATGCAGACGGACACGCTGTGGATCATCTGCAGCTCCGTGCGGGGACCCCCAGGCGTTTCCTTCCTCGTCGTCAGTGACTGCAGATGGTGCAGGTAAAAGGGCAGCACCGCCTCCAGGATTGTCTGCGCATCCATTTCAGCACGGTGAAATAGAGGTGCCATCAGAACTTCCTGGGTGAACTTAAAGCAGTGATAAGATAAAACTTGCTGCTGCTCGACGTAACAAAAAGGCATAGAAATTAAGATTGAATGCATCGTATTATGTTTCGGTGTTACTAAATGTCTCCAATCTTCCAGTACCCCTAAGGTCTTCTACAAATCGTCCGCACGTGCAGACTATGATTTGTGAAGTAGATGGCATTTTTTCTGCCATAGTTACTCCTATAATTTCGTCACTTGATGGTCCACGAAATGTGCAGCTACAAGAAGCCGAGGAAAACTAACGAGTCTTTCAAAATGCCGACGGAACCCAACGACAGGTGTGTTAGCTGGCACCTGCCTTAAAACACTGAGCAAGTTCCCACCCACAATTTGGAGGCAATCTAAAAAAATTGGGGGATGGGAGCTTGTCAGGTCTACAAGCAAAAATCCAGAAGATGCACCGACAGGGCGAGCTTTGCCGCTTTGCACCAGGGTGCTTGGAGAAGCTGCCAACGAGGAGGAGCAACTCGGTTAGCTATGCTCCATTTCACCTTACGACCAACCGCAGCAATTGGTACGAGCTATCCCAGCCAATCGAGCGCTGCGAGCACACCCCGTGATTATGCACCCCCTCCGTCGTCACACCGCTCCCAAAGGTCAAGTGACACTTAGATGGAACCAAACCAGCTCCAACGGCTCGTAGCATCTGCTGCGAACAGTCATAAGGTAAAACAAAGGATAGAAGGACTAGGATGTCTGGGGTGGGTGCTCGATATGTCCTTCGGTCAGCTTTCAAACATTTTAAAAGTGGCAGCTGGGCACTATATTTCTGACGCGGGCGTCTGCTCAGTCTTTTATGGCATCACTATTTCGGCACTACGATGTTTGGAATGCGTCTTCGACCGGCGTGTTTTGCGACCTATACCGCCCGTGCATCCAAAAGGGATCCTGAAGTGGCAATGTATTACGTTGCAGGGGTCGACGTGTCATGCTGTCAGATGTCACAATCCTGGTGGTTGGGCTTTGCTCAACTGCACAGATTGAGACATCCAATGGCACATTCTGGTAAAAGGTACGAGCGAATGCGAGTACGTACCACTGTTGTCACAGAGTCTCAACTTTTGGCTGCTCAAGTTTCCACAAACTTCAGACCGGACTGCGACCTGCGGCGTAACTGGCGTTTGCCGTATACGCCTCCACTGGTCTGCCACCGCCAGGATGGTGGCAGGCAACGGCACGAAACTTCTACGCCGTCGTCGAGTGGAAATTGGAGGACCACATTCGAGAGCACGGTAAATTCACTGGTCCTCGCCATTAAATTGCAGATGCCCCCCGGTTTCAGTTCTTCCCTCCGTTCAATCCAGACTCTCTACCCCCTTTTAAGTTATAAAAAGAGCCGATTAAGCGTCAAAGGGCACTTCTCCACCTGAACTCGGCCGGTGCAGCCACTGTGCCCCAAAGCAGTTGGTACTCGTCAAAAACGCGAATGGTATCGAGAGCCTCCAATGCCCACCAGCATCTGGTGTCCCCGATGAGAGTCCGAGGCGTAGGACACGACGGTGACGCAGAGGGAGACGGCGTCCAGAATGGTCAGGGTGTCCGGGTCCATCTGGTAGCAGAAGTCCAGTGCCCGCAAGGGCTTCTCTGCATCCACCAGCTCCAGGATATCCAGGGGATCTACAATGTACTGGGCCAGGGACTGCAGCAGCTGGAACAGGGCCTTGGGCTGCATCTGCGCACAAAAGGGCACTCACTTCATTTCAATTTATTGCTCCTCAAGGCCCGAAGGCATTACAAAAGAGGAGCAGAGAAAAAATATTGGACAACAAAATACAAATTATAAGTTACCGTGTTTATTCAAATATGTCACCTTTTCTTTTTTTTCTTGGAAATGTCAAAAATTAAGGGATGACCTATAATTGCGACCAGAGAATTTCGACCTGCATTTGCGACCAAATTTCGCGACCCTGCCGAACGCATGGAGCTATCGAGTAACCGAGCCAGTGTTGCCGTAGCGCTGCTCGCGTTGCTTCTTGTTTCAAGAAGTTTATGGTGCACAAAAACAACCAAAACTGCAGCAGCCGGCGGCCCGTGGTCTGCCGTGGCTGCTAATCACGCGCATCCTTCGGGCATTGGGTTCCTTGCCTGTCCCCGGCTGGCGCAGCTCGCACATGCCCCTCGCGACGCAAAGGAGGAAGAAGAGGGAGGGGTACGTGACGCGCCCAATGGCCCAACACATGCCACGCTTGGCCACGCACTTTGCCCCCTCCCCTCCTTTTCACCTCCCTCCCCCTCACAGATGTGCAGCAAAACAAAATATGGAGGTTACTTTCGTTTCTTGCAGCTCGCAACGTCGCTCGCATCTTCGTATTTGGCCTTTCGTCGCTTTGCCGATTTCCACCTTCTTTCGTTTCTTGTTGTCGTCATTTTTCAACGGTGTCAGCACTTTAAAGCGCGTTCACACCAGCGATGCGATCAAGTCGCGCGATAACTTTAATCGCAAAAGTGACCATCGCGGAAAAAAAGCGACGCGATTTGAGCAGTCGCTACCTGACCTGACTTTTTGCGATGCGATCTAGTCGCGGAGCGGCTGAGCCAGTCAGCGGAGTTTGAAGCGAGAGTTTTCGAGAAGCAACCCGCCATCGAAGGTGTTGGACTCGCTGATTGCGCACGCCAGTGTGACCATCTAATTTTTTTTCGATGCGATCTAGTTGCATCGCGCGACTGATTTACATCACCGGTGTGACTGTGCCTTTAGACGAAGCTATAGACGACGATATGTCCAGAGCTTCTGATGGCAATGAAGTTTTCGGCATCACGCTGTGATTTAGCTGTAAGCGCTGTAAATAAAAGTTTGTTTGATTCTTTAGTCAAAACTTTCCTCTTTTTTTTAAAAAAAAAAAAAGGCAAATCTATGTTTGATTTTTTTTTTAGGTGATTCTAAGGCATTTATTTATATTTGGTGTCGACTTATATTGGAGTAATTACGGTTGGCAAAATCTACAAGAATATATAATTATTAATGGCAGTTCTAAAAAAACTTCATAATGGAGACAATTGTCCCAGTAATAAGGTTCCTGTTCTGGGACGTACGGGGGATGAAAGACGAATGAAACGTTGTTGTGATCGAACTTGGGATGCCGACCTTGTGCTGATGATCGGGACGAGAGAAAACATAAACAGGGCAGTCATCAATGGGTCGCATGGAATGGAATTACGAAAAGTAATTTTATGAAATAAAGAAAGGCGAGCAACTTTTCGGCAAAAGAACAAGGGTGACAGTGAGAGGGTGATTTTCATGCTGGTGACGCTAGCAGTGCAGTGGCAGTTTGTGAGAATAAAATGAGCAGATCTGTTCTGGGTGGCTTCCAATGCAAGAATGAGAGTGGCTCGCCCATTCGTACGGGGTTCGACTGCCACCGGCAGCACTGGCTGCCTCAAACTGCAAAATCAGGTTTAGTTTCATCTTTCAGAACTTAGGGTTGCACACCTTATAGCTAGGGTTTTGTTTGAGCATGGGCTTCCAAACTGGGTTCCTAGGAACCTAGGGATTCCCCATAGTACCCTCATGCAGGAATGTGCGATTATTCAAATTTTCTAATACAGTATAGACCACTTACAACGTAACCGCTTATAGTGCAGGACCGGGTATAACGCGGTTTTTTTAAACCACCGGTTCACCTCCCATAGAACTCCATGTAATTACATACCGCTTAAAATGCAGGCACGCGAAGGGAAATACCGGTTATAGTGCGGTTTCTGGCACAGCCCGCCGACCGCGCCGACGACTGGAGCAGCGAGCACGCTTCCCTGTGCAACACTAGATAACGGCGCTGACGGCGCGAGACGCAAGTTGGCCGCAAGCGGCACTGGCGGGGCAAGGAGGTTGCTCGAAGAAGCGGGAAGAAGCGAAGAGAGAGGTTTCAGTTGCCATAGCGACAGAGGGACGCACGCACGTGTTGTTCACGTGCGTGCGTCCCTCCGCTGTGTTGCAAACAAAGAAACAAACAACAGCAACGACAGACCAATCACAGGTCGAGGAAAAGTGTTCGCGCACGTTGCATGCCGGTCGCGGGCCGGCTGCTTCTATCCGCAAAGATGGCGTCAGTTGTGATCGTCGTCGTAGACGGCGTTCATCTCATCGTTCTGCGTAAAAGCGCTATCCTTGACTGTGAATTTTCGTTGTGTGTCGCTATGATAACCCAGCACGTACTAGAAGGGAAGATCCAACTACGCGTGCGGCGATGTCGTGGCGGTGCTCTCAAGACGGCAGAAATGCCCGTGTCGTCGTGTTTTACTTCGACTAGAGTGGTGATTTCTAAGCATTTGTGTCCTCGAACATCGCCCGAATTTCTTATTTGGCGCATTTCATGCGTGTGCTCAAGTTCAAGGTATTACTGGCGCGTACCGTATGAAGGATGCGAATTTTCACGCGTTTCAATCTCTGGAGAAAAGTGATTAGGGTTAGCAATCCTGAACACTCGCAACGTTTGTCCGAAACCCGTGACGCCGTTAAAAGGCTGCATTAGGCAAAAGCCGCTCATTTCTTTCAAAATGTGTGACACACTTCAGACAGAACTGTACTAGTCTGGTTAAATAAAGACTTCCATCAAACTAAGCTTTATTTTGCATCTAACATAAAATAAATTCTTTTACAAAGGTAAGTTGTCTCATGGCATGTATTTTGGCCTGAAAATTGATATTTTGGTTATAGCGCGGTACCGCTTGTAGTGCGGATTTTCGCGACTCCTGCGACATACGTTATATGCGGTCTACACTGTAGTAGTTTCGATTAAAACGCTGCTCAGTATCCGATTCAAGATGAACTGCTATATTGATATTTTTCTAAGTGTTGATTGCGGTGGGTTAGCCCCGTTGAGTGTGCTTCTTACAGAGCACTGGTGGGATGCGGAGAAGCAACATCTGCAGAGCTGGCGTCCGCAGGTGTTGCTTCTCCACAGTGCTCCAGTGCTCGATAAGAAGTGCGCTCAACAGGGCTAAACTGCCGCGATCAATGCTTAGAAAAATACCAATATCGCAGTTCATCTCGAACCGAATACTGAACACCATACTATTCTAAACTACTATTAGAAAATTAAACAGTGGCTATTATACAAGAGTATAGGTTAGGCAGAGATGTCCTGACAATTTGCACTCAATATTAATGACCATCTTTTTTTTTTCTTTTCTAAAATTCGAGATTTAATAAAGGATATTTGCATATAGCAAGAGGATTTATAAATCCTCGCAATTAGGTATAGCCGGACACCTCTATTGGTTTATTTGTAAGTCGAGTCTGTTGTTTACTTGCCATCCCAACGTAGGCTTTGGACTTTCTGAGCCATGTTTTATGAATCTAGTTCAATTAAAGTTAACTTAAAAATGGCCAAGTGGAAGGTTAGGGATAACCTTCACTGCTTCAACTGAGTTTTTTTAGGCATGTTGCAGTAGTGAAAGGCTTGGAAAAACTATTTGATATTCAATTCGAAAATACTCAGTCAGAACTACTATTCACTTCGAATCTGCTTCGAACTCAAAATCTACTATTCACACACGCCCTCACAGCTTCTTTGGCTTTCAAATTTCTAGTTTAAGTGTTAATTTAGCAGGCCTAAGCCACCAAGTGATGAACTATGAGTGAAAAGCTAATTAGTGTGTGCATTATTGCTTGCGAGTTCTGTAAGCTTCTGCAGTGCTATAGACAAACTCAACTCTGTTATGTCATGGCGCAGTGGTGGCACGTCGAGCACATTTCCGGTCTGGGGCTGTGGGCAGAAGTCACCATGCGAGACCTGCATCCCTTCGTTGTTTTGAAAGAAACCAGATAAAACCTGCCTTCTTGACAAAATGACGCAACTGAGGCTCTACCAAGAGTCAAGAAAGGTTTGAAGGTCAGTTTTCATGTGCTCGGTTCGTCCAAGAACGTGGATATGTGCCGTGCATTATCGGATCACGATTGCTTGGGCGGGAAGCACTTTGGGTTAAATTCACGAATACTTCTGGTCATCAGATTTATTTGTTTTGTTCCAACATGAATGCGGGAAAACCGTCAAGTTGTACGGACCACCTGCGGACTACGTTCAGCGCGTCTTTAAGTTCAAACGGCCACCTGATCGTTCGAACTGTCGTCTGCTCTTTCAAATGTGTCTGTTGGTCGTTTGCTCTTTCAGACGACACCGGCCCGTAGACCAAACGTTGGCCCGGTAATTGCGATAAAAGTGCAGGTCTCAGAAGACTTTTAAGTTTGAAGCAGGCTCGGTGTAAACAGTAGATACAAAGAGATGTTGATCAGTGTTACTAGTGGCCACCATCGACTTGTTATTTCTGATTCACTCGGTCCAATTCTGCTTGCGATTTTCAGTATCCACGTCGACCAACCCAGCTACGGTTTACGCTTTTGGAGCCCGAGCAACGTCGCGACTGAAAATTGCGAGTGGAATTCATGCGAATCAGGCTTTAGCGTCTAGCTCTTGTGCTCCAACCTGCTGCTACGCAGACTTCCACGCCTGCGACGCTCTGTTGTTATCTTCTGTATCCTTTTTGATTTGGCACAAGTTTGCCACATTAAATGTCAAGTTTCTTTCGTTATTGACCGCTTCATCAATCATCATTCGTGACGCGATGCTCTTTGAAGTACTTGCCTTGTTTGCATCTCCGAAGTTACTGTTAACATCAAGGTCCAACAGCGGTGCAACGCTACCAAACATCTGCAAAAGATGCAAGATACAAGGTCAAGAAGTGCAGAAATGCACATAAAACGAATCAATGCAAACATTTTTTTATAGCTTTGTGAAAAAATGCAAACCTGGAGAATGAAGGGTTTCCTGTGCATGATATAGAACTGCTTGCAGATGAACTCCACTGTCCTGCACAGCAGTCCATTGGTCTGATGGTTGGAGTAGATTTGGAGGATAGTCGGCATAATCAGCAAATAACTGCAAGGAAAGTGGACAATGTTTGATTATGCCTGTTATGTGCACCAGGTTAAACAAAAAAACACAAATGTGATGCGAAAATATCTTGGACACTTAAAGGTTTTGAAATAAAATATTTGTTACATCGGATGGGAAGGCTTTTATTTTTAATGTGAATTTCCACGTGAGCTTTCTTATAACAAAAAATTTTATTGCCAAAGGTGCATTCATGCAGTAAAAAGTGCCCCTCTTAAAGTGAAAAGCATATATTTGAATACCGTAAAATAGCGCGGAAGTACCTACTTCGTTCCAGACGCCCACTATTAACATTTCCCAAACTTTGGATTTCTTCAAATTATTTGCTAAGCGCCCATGATTTGACCAGGGTCTTAATGTAATGTAAATTAATTTTTATGTTAGGCCATAAGGTCACTATTGTATAAATGAAAGACTGCGTCACGCTTGTATATTCACATTCACGGGTGCAGCTGCATTTAACTCCTCATAACTCGCATTTATATATTTCTAACAGTTCACATAGAAGGTTAACGCTTCTGGGGTGTGCATACTCGATCAAGCTGAAACTTCTCATGAACATGAGCCCATATTTTAGTGTTGAGGGAATATTCTAATTTTTGAGTACAGTTGCCAACCGATTTTTCAGACTTTGCAGGGACCGAAGAAATGTCTGAATAATAGAGCAGTCCGAAGAATCAGCAGATTAAAAGCTTGTCTTTCTTACATCTAAGCGGGATTGAAAAAGCCGTTAATAGTGCCTTGTTTCAGGTTACGTTTGTGGGCCTTGTTTCAGGTTACGCCTGTTTGTGTTCGGTCTCTTTCTATCATCTTGAGAATTGCTGCCTTCTTTCCTAGCATTGTGGTCAAGCACTTTCCGCATTTCTTAGCGACACTTCGCAGTGGCAGAAGAACAGACGGGGCCATGACGTCCAAGCCTGCGTAGTTCGAAAACATAATTAATTCATCGAGACAAGATGAGAGGTGCAAGTCCATGACTGCAATGGCGAATGAACGAAGCGAAATGGTAACACTGATGTTGATAATGATGCACAGCTAGAGAAAAAGAAGCTGTATAGCATCACCTAGCAGAAGGACTTGGCAGTACTCAAGCAGCGCTGCCAAACCAAGCCAATCCATGTGCAGCCAACATAGAATCCAAAATGGTGGCTTCTCGGTGGTGTTTCCCGCTGATTGCTCGCAACGATTTTGTCAAAAAAATCGAACTTTCGGACTTTAAGCTGACCGAAACATTGGTTGTGAATATGCAATCTTTTTAGCGGGAAGGTCGCAGTTTCTCCTTTAGGTTCGAAATATCTATTAAGTCCGAATTATTGGCATCCGAAAAATAGGTCAGCGACTGTAGTAGTTTTGAATAATATGCTGTTCAGTATTTCAGTGGTGGTCCAGCCATTTTAGGTTTTGGAGCAATTTTTGGAGCAAGAAAAACCCAATTTTGGAGCAATTCGTATCCCATAAACTCCCCTTTTGGAGCAGGGAAAAGCTTGTTTTGGAGCACCTTGGTATCAGGAAAACTAAACATTTTGGAGCAGCATGAACATAGAGCAGTTCTGTGCCATGTCTTTATTATTATATATATATTACGGCTGCCGAAAGTCCGAAACTATAGCGATTTATTAAACATGTTTGTAAGCTCTATTCTGAGTTCGCACGCAGTGCGACAGTATGACAACCTAGGGGTGACCAATCGTTTACGGCATTTGACATGAAAAGGAACACGCAACAATTCGCAACAAGGAAATCAAGCAACGACCACGCGATCGAAAAGAGTACCACGTTCGGTATTGATGCCGCTGGTCTGCCGGTGAACGAGCGTCCGAGCAAATTTCTACTATGGGGTCTGTAACTTAAAACGCGCATGCAGAAAAAAAAACTACTCACGTTGGCTCCTCTTTAAGAGGACTTAGTAGTGGCGATGCAGAAATGAACAGCCACAACGCCGCATATCAAAACGGTCGCAACAAAACAATAATGCGCAATAATGCCACTGGGCCGGAAACCTGAATTGGATTGTGATGGCTATGGTAACGGCTCTACCCTTTATATCGGGGGGGCAGCTTGCACCTGCTTGCACCACCTAGAGCACTATATTGCTCTATGGTGCTCTAGCACCACCTAGCCTAGAAAATAAAACTCCCCCGGGTTGCCAGCCGAAAACGCCATTCTTCCAAAAAAGGATTCGTTCACGGACCGACTAGCCCTTTTTGGCGCAGTTTGGCGCCGTTTGGCGCAGTTTGGCGCAATTTGTGTCCTTAGGCGCAGCAAGGCGCAGGTAAAGGAGAATTTATCAAAATGGCGCAATTGGCGCAGCTGGACCACCCCTGGTATTTGCTTCGAGTTGAACTGCAATATTCATATTTTTCGAAGAGTTGGTCGCAGCGGGTTAGCCCCGTTGAGTGTGCTTCTCACCGAGCACCGGTGCGCTGCAAGAAAGCAATACCCGAAAAGCCCGTGAACTTCGCGGGTATGCACCGAGAAACTGAGGGGGAGGAGGAGACGAGAGTGCACAAGGACGTCGGAATGCAAAGCTCCGATTCGAATGAATAGTGGGCGAACCTAACGCCAGCAGCCTTTGCCTCCACCGCACTCGTCGAACGCATTCGCATTTGAGAGCCAGACGTCGGACGCCGGCGTTACACGTTCTAATGCGTTCGTTGAGGGCACTGGAGAGAAGGACCGCATTTGTCTGCACTGCACTCGTCGAACGCATTCTAATGCGAAAGCCGGCGTTCTGCGTTATAACGCATTCAAATTTGAAGTAGAAGTATGCATATAGCAAGCAGATTTATAAATTCCTTCGATTAGGACAACTGCGACTTTAGATGCCACAGTTCATATATACAGTGCAGTCCACGTATAACAATAATGACAAAACCAAACAATACAATCGTTATAACCGATTATCGTTGAATCTGGAATAGAAACTGAAAATACAGTTAGTGTGCAAGCGAGCTGGTGATAGTTAATCATGATGTTTAGAGGCCGAGACTGTGGTGAGGAAAAAATAGGAAATTTCGAAGTCAAAGAAAAAAGGCACAAAAGAAGAAAGGTACAGGAGAAAGGCACAGGAGAAGCTGAGCTTTTCTACTCTAGAAACTGATCGTTATATGCAGTTTATCGTTATATCTGGTATTATTATAAGCGGATTGCAGTGTCGTAGTTATATTAAAATAACTGAGCTCTGAAGTGGAAAAGTGGAAGGTTGAGAACATCCTTCATGAGTTCAACTGAACTTCCGTTTAAGCAAGGTGCATAGTAGTGATAGACAGAGAAACTATTCAATATTCAATTCGATTGACCAAAACCACTATTTGCTTCGAACTCAAAATTCACTATATTTGCAAATGATTGCCACATTTACATCAAACAAAATCCATAATGCAGATCCATAGGGAAGCATAAACACGGCATCCATTACTACAAGCATCACTGACGAGCAATGTGCCTCGTGAGAAAGCAGAATTTGCGAAGCCGAACTTGACAAGTAGTAGACAGTAGTAGAAATAGAAGACCCTCTGTATGAAACAGGGCAATCAGGGATGCAGACGAGGTACAACGGCGTAACACTACATATTAGCGCAAACAAGTGATCTCCACTCTTCCCTCTCTTCTCTTAGAAGTAAAAAGCTGCAACAAAAACTGTTTGTGTGGTGGGAAGTCCTCATTCAAGGCACTTACCTAAGCAGTAATCATTGGTGCCCACCAATACTCTGTCTGAGTGAAAAGCTGAGAAAAGTGCCGAAGTTGTGTTTGCAATAGCCGCGCCGCACAGTGCATTACATCCCTACAGCATAGGTTCCCAGACTCGGCTCCTAGGAACTTGGGGGTTCCTCGGAGTACCCTCATGAGTTCCCCGAACCCCCGAATTTCCTTGACCACCCCTGTCCCTAGCAAAGCATTCTTCCAGTTTATTCCCTATTTTAATGAATCTGATCTACTTACTGATAGATAACCATGAGCCAAACATTTCCCAGTGTGCACATTATTCTTCGCAAGGTCTGCAAGCTTCTGCACTGTGACCGTATGACTCGAGAGCGAACAACGTCAAAGCGCCAACGGGAAAGAGTGCGACACAAAAGCGTGTGCCATTGGAGAACATGACACGAGAGTGCGCAACCAGTCGAGTGTGCGTTTGAGAGCACATGGGCGCACTGTGGAAGGTTTCAAGGATGATATTTGCAATTATGCAGCTACCCAAGCCAGTGTACCTCAGAGCTTGCTATTCGATTAAAGATGGCAGCATCCAAGAGGTCGTGTTATGCCGGCTCGACAGAAGTGTTGGGACAGTTCTGTGTGGCTTTTGTTTTCAGAAACGGTGCTTTTAGAAACTCTTGGCACAATGATATCTTGTATAATAATAATAAAAAAACTATTCATGTACATTTATATTTAAAATTGATTTTGGATGTATTTTCTGCCAATTAGGTATGTATGAGCAAGAATTAAAAATGCCTCAAAGGTAACCTGATAGGGCAGAACGTAAGGGCGGGAGTGAGCTGGTGTATATTAAACATTTCAGTGATAAACTTGAGACTGAGGTATTGACAGACGACAAGGAAGAGAAGGAGAATGTCTCAAACACAGCTGTGTTTGAGACATTCTCCTTCTCTTCCTTGTTGTCGTCTGTCATTACCCCAGTCTCGGGTTCTTCACTAAAATGTTTAACCTCATAGGTTATGGCCACCACCAGATTTCGACGCCTATTACAAACAGATACCCCAGTTTGGCTAGTAATAACTCAATCTAACACCTTGTCACAGCACAGGCAAGGGTAGACAGATCCTGGCCAGAATGATCCCGTTCAAAATGATCCCGGACAAAATTACGCAACGACATGAATCTTAGTCTATAGCGGTGGTTCTCAAATGGGGTTCTGCAGAGCCGCTGGGGTCCGTGAAGCCATTTTAGGGGTTTGTCAAGCCCTCACCTCAACTACGCCCTTCCCTCTTTTCTTAAAAAAAAAAGTTATTTCCAAACACTGGCTAGGTGGTGCTAGTTACCACCCATTATAAAGGGTATGTCCTTACCATCTATCCATCCATTCATCCTTTTACTTGACAACTCTCACTTTTCCTGTCTATAAAAGTAAAGGATGGAATTTTTACACTGCAATCAGTTGTCTTATTTTACACCTCCCCCCCCTTTCCCCTTCCCCCGCTGGCATGGGGTCTCCCATAACTTCGGCAAGTCCCCAAGCTGTCTCCGACACATCCATGCTTGAGAACCACTGGTCTACAGGGTTAGATTCGGCCATTTTTCTAACACATCGTACGATTCCATCTTGCATGTAACTGCTGACACAAAAAAATTTTTTTTTTTTTTTTGCAATGTTACAATTTATTTATTGGCCCCATTAGTGCTCTCGTGACTCGAGCTCAACTAGTTGCGCTTTCTTGTTGTGCGCCCTTAAGCTAGCAGGGGTTTCCCAGTTGCCATTGAAGGCAGGTGGGGGTTCCTCGAGATCTAAAAGCTCGAGAACCCCTGCCCCACAGCACCCAGAAACAAGTAAGCAAGGTTTAGACTGTCTCCAGAGGACAGCATGGGATAAACCATGCAGACGAAACGCCCAGGCAGATGAAACGCTCAGAGAGCAGGCCTCACCCATTGGAGGCAAAGATGTTCCTAAACTGGTGTGCCGCGTTGATGTAGGTGGCCATGCAGAGGCGGAGGATGGTGGCATCCTCCGGGTGGAGCACCAGCGCCCCGTTGACCACGTTGAGAAACAGGTGGATGTCCGACGAGTGGGCGAAGAACCCCGCCATCGCCTCGAACATTCGAGCCATCAGCTGCAAGAAGGGTGCACGGCCATCGTCGTAGGGGCAAGCGAGGTGGAGAGAGCTTTGGTGGCCAACTGAGGCACACGTCTCTTGACCCGTCAAAACAAGGACCACCGAATGTTTCTGGAGTACCGCCTTGCATGGCGTCCCCTTGAGCTAATCGAGCTTTCTGATTGACGTATGCTGGCTATGTTGAGGTTGAGAAAAAAGTCGGAAACAAAGCATTTAGGAGAGAGCTCTGAACAGGTGTTGAATTTGAACAGCTCGGTATGAGACGCACGTGGTCGTTTCCGCTAGGGCTTTTTACATCGATGTCCACGCAACCTGGTCCGGATGTAGAAAACCCGAGACTGAGGTAAAAGCAGGGAAACTCGGTGGAAGAAAGAAGACAGGGGAAAAGAATGTCTCAGAGACATTTTTGAGACATTCTTTTCCCTGTCTTTGTTCTTCGACCCAGTTTCCCTGCTTTTACCACAGTTTCGGGTTTTCTACATCATGATCAACATCCACCAGCTCGCCTGCGCAGTCACTGTTTTTTCATTGATAACCTGGTCCGCCAAAAAAAAATGCCGCCCCAATTCAATTGCAAGGGGCCACCGTTTTGCAGCCCTCAAGCTCAGCTCCGAGATGTGGTTCTGAAACATATCTTGGAAATCTTTGGTACGCTGGAAACAATTAGTCGCCCCAGTTGACACCATACTTCGGACAATCCAAGTGACGACAGGAAACCGAACAAAGCGTGCAAGGGGGAGAGTGTTGACAAGAAAAAGTTAAATTTTGACTCGGCTTGTACGATACACTCCTCAACACCCAGCCAACAAAATAAAAGTATGGCATGTCTGTGAACCGAAGTACAGTTTTTCTAAACCATCAGCCAGGAAGGGGTAGTGTTCTTTAAAATAAGCAAGCCATAGGAGGGCTGCACTCTCATAAATTAATTTTTTCAATAAGTAAAAAAAAAACAGTTTCTCAAGAGTACTACTTGGGATTTTAGTGTTCACTGGAACACAAGGCACCTGATACTAGAAATAAAATATTTAAAGTATTGCTATGTTTCTATTTTCAATATTAAAACAAAATAATCTCTAATTAATTTCACGCTATCCAATAAGACAAATAAAACATAGTAAAGTGTCCTAAGAGTGCAAGAAATACAAACGCTTCATGCTCACTTTCACCCAGACCATCTTGTGCAGTGTATCCATTCCTAGAAGTTCCTGTTGGAGGCAGAAAAGAAAGAACCAATAAAAATAGGCTCCATCATTCTCACCAACCCTCCTCATTAACCATGACAGGAGCTTGATTTGTCCTTCTCGAGAAGAAGGGCTCAAACTTTAAAGCGAAGCAGAAATAATGTCCATTATGTCTACGCGCAAGGTGAGGATACAAAATGTTCAGCGTCTTTGGAGCTGCACTCAGCGTTTATTTTTTACGTTTTCGAAGCTCGGGAATGTCTCTCCCGACTTGTCCAGGTTCGATTCCTCTAGCAGGATGCATAGATTTCTCTCTTTGTAACTAATTATTATTATTAATTACGGACATCTACTTTATTAGCTCACATTGCCATAGTAACTGTGTGACTGTTTTTCGTATGCTAGCTACGCTCATCTCGGGATAAGGGGCATTCGTCGAAAGACAATCTATAATAGGGCAACTCACAGCAGGGCAATTCGTCACATGGGGCAATTCGTCACTGGGACAGCTTGTTGAGAAAAATGACTGCATCTCCACGTGGTGAATGATGTTGATTGGGGCCAAGTTCTGGTGGTGGTGACGATACTGATTTTGTTTATAGGTAGTGCTGATGTCAGGAAGAGAATGTGTGGTATGGAACGTGGTTATATACGCATTTTAGCATTTGACCGCAGCGCCCTCTCGTCTATAAACGTTGAGCCAACGCATGCAAAGTTTAACGCGATTATATACACATTTGACCGCAGCGCCCTCTCCTGTATAGATGTTGAGCGGCTACATGCACCGTTTCATCCATGACATCCCCAGCTCAATTACTGCCACATCTCGGAGCTTCCTACTCGTCCCGCAGTCGTGGCCGAGTGGTTAAGGTGATGGACTAGAAATCCATTGGGGCCTCCCCGCACAGGTTCGAATCCTGTCGACTACGCAAACATTTTTTCTTTTTTTAAGAAGACAGATGGGATGGCATTCGATGTGGGCACAGACGCCGGACGGACAAGGCTAGGCCCTAAAGAGCTTCGCCCTTAAAACCAGAAATAATGTTTGAAGCTCTTGTTGCTCCTAGCTTTTTTAGCGTTCAGTCTTTTTCGTTATTCAGCTTCAATGTAGTGTCATCTTTAGCCTTTTGTTTCCTTTTAAGTTGATAAACATTTTAATTGACTTTGAAAGCATAGAATATAAAACTTTCTGGTCTCCTTTGTTAACTACCTCCAAGTTTTCTCAGTGCATGCATGACACAGAGACTGCACACATGCAATACGGAAAGAATGTAGCTCGTCCACAGGCATGACACGGACCAACTGCGCATTCGCTACACGGAAAGAATGTTGCTTGTCTACGTGAGTGATACAGAACAGTGCATCTGTGACACGGAAAGAATGTAGCTTGTCCACATGAGCGACACAGACTGCACATGCCCGACCATTTGCCATCCATTTTTCCATTAGCGACTGAAAGAGGTGCCAAGATTGTGGTGGACAAGACATAATTAGTCAGTGTCTATTAGAAATTAGTAGAAGTCTCAAATCTTGTGTCGAAAAAAAAATAATTAAATCATGAAAGGGGGTCACTGGTTATTGTACTCACTTGGAAGAACTCAATAAACATCAGAAATGCTACAAAAATAATAAGTATCTGTTACTAGTTTGACAAATTATCATAGTGATAAACTGCCCTATGACGTATTGCCCTATGTGACGAATAGCCACAGCTTTCAGTTGACGTGCGAAAAATTGTCGTTCGACGAACGGTTCTACAGCCGCTCATCTCATAGGAACCAGCCCAATAACACATTCCAATTTAATAATGAGAGCCAGTCAGATAACGGAGGCAAGCTCACTTTTCCGAACTTGCCGGTGTAGAGCTCGAAGTCAGCCTCCAGGGCCTTCCGGGGAAACGAGGGCAGCTTGGTGAGCTCGTCATGCAGGAACAGGACCCTCGGCGCCAGCTGGTGGCTGGTCCTCAGGATGGCCAGGCTCATCAGAACCTGCCACACGAGACCAGAAGTTTAATAGGAAAGAAGACACATGCCTTGTGACCTCGCAAGCTGCAATCTCACGAGGCATGCACTGGTGTCTTCGTTGTGAGTCAAGCATGACCAAGACACCAGTGCACGGAGGAAGACACCAGCGCGTGCCTCGCAACTTCGCGAGGCATGCACTGGTGCTTTTGTCACAAAACGAGCGCAACAAAAATACCAGTGCATGGAGGAAGACGCCGGTGCATGCCTCGTGACCTTGCGAGCTGCAACCTCGTGAGGCATGCACTAGTGTCTTTGTTGTGAGGCAATCACAACCAAGACACCCTTGCAATCTCAAAGGGCATGTACTGCTGTCTTTGTTGCGAAGCAAGCGCAACAAAAACACCAGTGCACGGAGGAAGACACCAGTGCATGTTTCGTGACCTCGCAAACCACAACCTATTAAGGCATGCACTGGTGTCTTTGTAGCAGGCCAAGTGCCACCAAGACACCAGTGCGTGACTCACAACCTTACAGGGCATGTACTGGTGTCTTTGTTGCAAAGCAAGGCAAAGAAAATACCAGTGTATAGAAGAGACATAGAGTGGTGTCTTAGTCGAGGGGCAAGCGTGACAAAGAGACCAGTGTTTACTTTGTGGCAAGCACACACCTTATGCTTGCCTCATAACGAGCGTATGACAATCCATTGGCCATTTTGGGCCGAAAATACTGTCTTCTTTTACATTTTCGTGCAGCTGCCAAGCCTTCAGTATCCCTACCATGTCAGACTGTGATACTGTATGCTGCTAGCTAGCTATTGCAAACACAAATGTCTCAAAATCTGACCTACCATCCTATGGAGACGCAGTTGCAATCGTGTCTGCCACGAATAAAGCTGTGTTTTTGGCTGAGATTGAGGTTATCAGAAACAAATGCAGCCGGCCAAACACAGTGCTAGATGATAAGGCAGCGACTCACGCAAAACCTAAAAATGTGTGACAGTGCAGTATTTTATTAGAAAATGGCTAATGGCAAGCTGAAGTGCGAGCTGAAATGCAAAATTAAATGCCTCGGGAGATGGCCCCTAAGCAACTCGTCCAACATTGCCATGAAGTGTGCACCACCCTCAAATTTTCAAATTAAATGACCTTCCCTGGTTTGCACAAACTATAAATTTCCCAAAAGATTTAGTGAAACAAAATGCATTCAACCTGACTAATGACATTACCGTAAAATACCGTGAGAGTGCCCACCCCACTTTCATTGAAAACTGTCTTATTCTAGACATGGGCTCTTGTCCGGCCAAATCAATAAAAATCAAGACGGCCAATAAGACGCTTTGAAGGCAGGGTGAACGGAATTAGAACGAGCAAATTTATTGTCAAATATTATTCCCGCCACTGCTGTTGGTGGTCTCGTGGCTGCTGCAACAGAGTGGATATGTTCGACTTTGGAAGGGGTGGGCGCTTAACGTATGATTTTCAGAATTCCCAAGTTTGGGAAATATTAATAGTGGGCACTTGTACGAAGTGGGCGCTTCTGCCAGTATACACCTTTCCAAGAAACACTCGACCCCAAGGGCAACAAACCGTTTTTGAGCCGAGTCACTGGGTTTGAGGCTAGACTCTCACCGACGTCCCCGCTAACTCCAATTGAGTGGACTGTGATTTCGATAGGCGCAGTTTCAAACACTGCTGGCGGTTAAATTCTCGTCTTTTCCCACTGTACTTTGTGTTTCATGGTGTGTGTATTTTCCTGACGACATTAAGACAGCATTGCACCCCAATTGAAAAAACAAAAAAGCAAAAAAAAGACTAATCTATTTTTGTTGGGTATGCACGCGACAGAATGAATGCAAGTGGAATGTTAGTTGTAGTTTCTTTTTTTTTGTGATAAGTTTCGACAGCGCCGTCCGATCAGCCACTTGTCACACGACAAAGTGCTTAGCTGCTGAAAGTAATTTACAACAGGAGATAGCCGAAAGACATGCATTTTTCATGCTCACAACTAACGAGTTTACAGGTGGACAGGACATGGACATACAATTTAGCAAGTGTTAACATTTGAACAACATATTGATCGTACCACACGATGCAGCATTATCTGAAAAGAATTTATTTGAGAAAGATCTCAAATAACATAGTCACAGCCGACGACAGTCATATCTTGACGATCAGATCAAATCCAATACGACTCCATTTTGGGGCATGTTTTGGGGAGAGCTTCCTTTTTTCATACCAGCACCAAGGCAAAGGAATAGGCGCGACTGACTCCAATCCGAACATCTCTTTTTGGCAATGACTGAGAAGGACTCTACGTAGATTATTGCTGGGAGGGGGGAGAAAAGTTGCCATTGTTCACAAAATCGCATCGAGGGCCGTTCGACGTCCTTCACCTCCCTCGTTTCCCGTGAATGTAGAGCAGAAATCCATGAATGGCAGGCACTCACCAGCCCTAATTCTCACAGTGGAAAATAACCCAGAAAGAGTATGCAGCATGCATCAGAAAAATTAAGTGGAAACTTTAAAGAGGGGCCAGAAAACGTTGAATGCAAAAACGCAAAACATAGATCGAGAATCGCGCTGAGCGGATTTCCACAGTCCAAGAGAGTGGAAGGAAATTTCTAGCTGATAGAGGGTGCAAGAGTCCCACCAGCCACATCAGCAACATAGTGGCGGCCTAGGAGCGTTTTTTGGAAAGGTGTATACAGTCGCCGACCGATTTTTTGGCCACTCATAATTCGGACTTGTTCAATATTCTGGACCTAAGGGAGGAACCGTGACCTATTCGATAGAAATACAGTCGAACCCGGATATATCCAATTCAAAGGGGATCACAAAAATAGTTTGATATATCAATAATTTGATATACAAAAATATGTTAAATTAAGCACGAGTTGAAATTTCCTGGCATCTCGGCTAATACCGAAGGTCACAATAAGCGGTTGCTTACCCAACATCCAAGACCTGCTAAATACAGTAGAGTGTAGTTGGCAAAGACCGCAAACACCACCGCGCTTACACGCGCCTGGCCGGGACCCTCCACACAGCATAAACGGCTAAACACAAAAATAATTAAAAAAAAAAACAATGAAAGAAAAACGAAAAAGCAGGACACATAAAAAAAAGTTGAAAGTCACAAAAAGAAAGCTTACTAAATTCAGGCAGCAAAAACAGAAAAGAAAAAAAGAAGAAAAAAAAAATGGGTAAAGCAATAACTGCTACCTTCCGACTGTGGGCACTCCTTGCCCTCCCTACGTGCATGCATGTGCCCTTCCCCTTGCTTTTGCCATCCTCCACTTTTTTTTTTAGAGCGCAGCTCTTAGGGGCCTGTTTCCGGCTTGAGCGGCGTCGCCGTCGGCGTCGCCGTCGGCGTAACCGCGCGGTGCATTATGGGAAATGTCCCATAATGCACCGCGCGAGCCCCCCACCGGGGTCACGTGACCTCGTGGGGGCACGTGACCCCCCCCCCCCCCCCCCCCGAGGTCACGTGACCCCCGAGGCCACGTGACCTTGAGGGGGGTCACGTGACCCCCGAGGCCACGTGACTCCCCGAGGTCACGTGACCCCCCGCCGATGTCGCATGACCCCCGATGACGTCATCATCACTGATGACGTCATCATCACTGATGACGTCATCGTCATTGATGACGTCATTAGTGACGTCACCGGCATCCACATCGTCATCGTCATCATCACTGATGACGTCACCGGCATCCGCATCGTCATCATCACTGACGACCTCACCGACATCCGCATCGTCATCATCACTGATGACGTCATCAGTGACGTCACTGATGTCGTCACCGGCATCCACATCGTCATCATCACTGATGACGTCATCAGCGACGTCACTGATGACGTCACCGACATTCGCATCGTCATCATCACTGGTGAAGTCATCAGTGACGTCACTAATGACGTCATCGGTATCCGCATCGTCATCGTCACTGATGACGTCATCAGTGACGTCAGTGATGACATCTTCGGCATTGGGGGAGCGGGTCACGTGACCCCCAAGGTCACGTGACCCCCCCCTGGTTAGTTGAACCCCCCCCCCCCAGTACCCTTCCCTCCTCCTCCTCAAGAGCTGCGCTCTAATTCGGCGTTACATGGAGTTGTAAGCGGCTTTCACATTTTTTTTTTTATTTTTACAGTTCATTGTTTTTTTGTTTTTTTTTACAACTGCTCTTTCGCTGCGTATCTTACTGCATGTATACTGGCTTGGCGGTCTGCAAGCCCCGCAACGCAAGCGATGTGCTCGCCACCGGCGCCATTGGATCGCGGGAAAAGCCATGGGCAGCCGGGCTTCATTCGCTATATCGAGTGTCCCCGCCATGGGAGTTCAATACAAAAAGACAACGCTCCTATAGTTTTACATGTGATTTTGAAAGGGATGTTTGAACTGTTTGATATAAACAATTCAAAATACCCCAGTGTGATATAACTGGGCTCGACTGTAGTGCATAATCACAACCAGTGTTTCATAGAGCTTAAAGATCGATCAATAGTTAGATTTTTTGGACTTAATCGTCCCAAGCGATCAGCGGGAACCACCCCTGAGAAGCCGCCATTTTAGATTCTATGTTGGCTGTACATAGAATGGCTTGGTTTGGCTACGGTGGCTAGAAGGCCGCCGTAGTTCGGCAGTTTCTAGCCACCATAGTTTGGCAGCGCTATTTGAGTACTGCTAAGTCCTTCTGCTAGGTGACTCATTGCTAGAGATTTTTTTTCTTTAATTGCCATCATTATCGTTATCATTGTTACCATTTTGCATTGTTATTTCTCCATTCTGCAGCCATGGACTTGCACCTCTCATCTTGTCTCGGTAAATCATGTTTTCGGACTACGTTGACTTGGACATCATGGCCCTATCTGTTCTTCTGCCACCATGAAGTGTCGCTAAGAAGCGTGGAAAGTACTTGACCATAATGCTAGGAAAGAAGGCAGTGGTTCTCAAGCTAATAAGAAGTTGCCGAACACAAGACAACTTTTTTAAGCCCGCTTAGACATAATACAGTAAAACCTTGTTATAACAAAGTTGAAGGAGCGGACGTAATTATTTCATTATAACCATTAGTTTGTTATAGTCAACGTCCATTTTTTCCCACTATTAGCAAGCAAGGGGAATTATGATTGCTTTGTTATATCCATTAGTTTGTTATATCCCATTTTGTTATAACGAGGTTTTACTGTAAAGGGAAGCTTTTAATCTGCAGGTTTTTCGTACTGATCTATTATTCTGACATTTTTTCGGTCCCTGCAAAGTCCGAACAATCGGTCGGCGACAGTATTACGGTAATGCGAGACTAGGTCCACATTTTTATGCATAGCATTGAGGCACAGCAATGAAAAATATTTAGGCTATTACATCAGCATGCAAGTAGATAATATTGTTCTATCATACTGCTACTATCCTACCGACTTTGCTTATTCGTTGTCGTGTAAAACACTAGCAAGATGTTCAGCAATGTCTCCAAGTAGCATCTCATATTATTAAAACAATGCAAAGTTAGACAATCTTCACAACTGCCACAGTTCCGGGACTGTAGACCTAAGTGCATGTTGACATTGCAGCATACAGTCAAACCCAGATATATCGAATTCAAAGGGGATCGTAAAACAGTTCGATATATCGATAATTTGATATACAAAAATATGGTAACTTAAGCTCCCATTGAAATTTCCACGCGTCCCTGCAAATACCGAAGGCCGCGACAAGCGGGACCTTACCAAATAGAGCCTCTGAGCCGCTAAATACAGTAGAGCTTAGTCGGTGAAGATCACAAACACCGCCGCGTTTACGCGACGGTGTTTGTGATCGTTTACGCCTGGCCACGACCTCCTCGCAGACGCCAACAAAACACGAAAATAATTTAAAAACAAATAAAAAAACGGAAAAAGCGAGCAGCGAGCCGTATAAAAAAAAGAAACTCTCGATTCATAGAAGAAAGTTTAGCAAGCAACAAAAAAGGAACCTCACTAAATTCAGGCAGCAAAAAAAAAAAAAAAGCAAAAAATGGGCAAAGCAAAAACGGCAAAAGAAAAAGGTAAACAAAGATTAGGCATTCAAAGTGCGATTGTTCAACTGTTGTCGTTAACACACTCGACTTGACGAAAACTTCTTTTTTTTTGTCTATTTTATATTGGGGCTAAAGAGTCGTGCAGCGACAGCGGTGTTCGGGGAAAGAGTGCACGCTACCGTTCCAACAGCGAGCATTCTCTGCCCTCCCTACACGTACGCGTGCCCTTTACCTTAATTTTGACATCCTCCACCTTTTCTTTTTTTTTTTTTACGGTTGTTTGTCTTTTTTCTATAACCGCTCTTTCGCTGCATACCCGTGTGCGTATGCTGGCTTGGCGGTCTGCCAGCCCTGCAACGCCGAGCTGTGTGCTCGCCACCGACATAATCTGACTTCAGGAGAAGCGATAGGCGGCCGTGCTTTGTTCGCTACATTCAAACCCGTTTATAACGAAAAGCAGGGAACGCTATGATCAGTTCGATATAGCAAGTAATTCGATATAGCAAAAAAACATTTACAACGGATTTCCCCGATGCGTTTGTTTAAGGCGAGAGCTTCTTTCTCCTTTCTTCGCTTCCCCCTTGTAACAACACGCTGGAATAATTTTTCTGTTTTTTTTTTTTGCATGCATGCAGAGTATCCTTTTTAGCTCATCTTCCCTTCTGAATCGCTTCTCTTCGTGGGCAACCGTTTCGGGATGACAAGTTTTTTTTTTTTTTCTGCGCGTGCACGCAGATTGTGTTTTTTAGCTTTCTCCCCTTCTGAATCGCTCCGCTTCCCTTCGCTCAATTTTGTTCGCCATCCGAGTTTTTGGAATTTTCTTTCTTTCCTACTTTTTTTGAAGGTGGAGCGAAGGGACAGGCTAGAAGACGATTGTTTGCTCGTTTTTAGAAACATTGCCAGGGGGAAAAAGTTCAATATAGCCAATATGTTGTTCGTTATAAAAAGTAATTTTTACATTGATTTGTATTTAAATTTACCGTGAGTTCGATATCAACAGTAATTCGCTGTATGTGGGTTCGTTCTAAACAGGTTTCACTGTATATCGAGTGTCCTCGTCATGGGAGTTCGATACAGAAAAACAGCGCTCCTATACTATTACCTGTGATTTTCAAGGGGATGTTTGAACTGTTTGATATAAACAATAATTCGAAATACCCGGGTGTGATATAACCAGGCTCGACAGTATACACAACATAAAAAAAGTTGACTGAAGGTGATATAAACATAATATGCGCAACACTAGCAATGTTAGTAAAGCAAACAAGCTTCACAACTTTAGAATCAATTATGCAACAGAAAACTGCCAAGACCCTTTTTAAATAAGATCACTATCAGACGAACACTAAGAGCCAAGAAATTTTACCTTGCCAACTTCAACGAAATGCAGGTAAAATGCCTGCTGCTGCCCGGCCTGGAACGCTTCCTCCGGATCCATTTTGAGGAGGGTCAGTTGAGGATACTGCGACCGCTTGAAGAAGTAGAAGTCTCGGACAAAGGCGCTGGGGTTGTGCATCTGGTCTTCACGGGCAAGAGAAAGAATGCCGCAGAGACGGTAAATCTCGGTGCACATGGCAAGGCATGTCAGCAGGGTCAAACTACAGCCACCATGATCATGAACCGAATGAGAACTCGTCCCGTCAGCGACTGTAAATAAGGTACGCCTCACAGTAACAATGATTTGGCCATCTTATACCTCAAATAATACAGTATAGACCACTTACAACGTAACCGCTTATAGTGCAGGACCGGGTATAACGCGGTTTTTTTAAACCACCGGTTCGCCTCCCATAGAACTCCATGTAATTACATACCGCTTAAAATGCAGGCGCGCGACGGGAAATACCGGTTATAGTGCGGTTCCTGGCACAGCCCGCCGACCGCGCCGACGACCGGAGCAGCGAGCACGCTTCCCTGTGCGACACTATAGATAACGGCGCGAGCCGCAAACGGCACTCGCGGGGCAAGGAGGTTGCTCGGAGAAGCGAAGAGAGAGGCTTCATTTGCCATAGCGACGGAAGGACGCACTAGGGTGCCTACATGTTTCCGCTCCGCTAGCGGAGCGGCGGAAACATGTAGGCACCCTAGGACGCACGCACGTGTCATTCATGTGCGTGCCTCCCTCCGCTGCGTTGGAAACAAACAACCGAAACGACAGACCAATCGCGGGTCGAGAAGTGCTCGCGCGCGTTGCATGCCAATCGCGGGCCGGCGGCGGCTTCTGTCCGCAAACATGGCGTCGGTTGTGGCGTTCATCTCATCGTTCCGCGTAAAAACGCTATCCTTGACAGTGAATTTTCGTTGTGTGTCGCTATGATAACCCAGCACGTACTAGAAGGGAAGATCCACCTACTCGTGCGGCGATGTGGCGGCGCTCTCAAGACGGCAAAAACGCCCGTGTCGTCGTGTTTGTTTACTTCGGCTAAAGTGGTGCTTTCTAAGCATTTGTGTTTTCGAACATCGCCCGGATTTCTTATTTGGAGCATTTCCTGCCTGTGCTCAAGTTCAAGGTATTTTTCTGGCGTGTACCGTATGAAGGGTGCGAATTTTCACGCTTTTTCATCTCCGGAGAAAAGTGATTAGGGTTAGCACTCCTGAACGCTCGCAACGTCCGTCCGCAACCCGCGACGCCGTTAAAAGGCTGCGCCAGGCAAAAGCCGCTTATTTCTTTCAAAATGTGTGACACACTTGAGAGAGATGTGTACTAGTCTGGTGAAATAAAGACTTCTCAAACTAAGCTTTATTTTTCATCTAACATAAAATAAATTCTTTTACAAAGGTAGGCTGTCTCATGGCATGTATTGTGGCCTGAAAAATTGATGTTTTGGTTATAACGCGGTACCGCTTATAGTGCGGATTTTCGCGACTCCCGCGACATACGTTATATGCGGTCTACACTGTAGTACCAAGTTGTCAGAGGTTTCATCTGAAATGGCAGGAAACACTTTTTTAACCTCCAGAAATGTTACAACAGTCGACGACAGAGCTGAACAGTATCGTCCGAGCTCCCTGTCGTCATATCTGGAAGTCAGGAAATCGCATATTCGAATCTGAAGTAACAGCGAACTAACAAAATGGCGGCGCCCACAAGATTATCGGGAATTTGAGTTCCAACACTCTGGAGCGTAGCTCATCTAGTGCCTATAGGTCAAACCAGACTTTGTGCAGAGACCTTGCACCAACTTACTTGTCTTAGTGTCCACCAGAAAGAAACACTTGTGCTCGTTTTCTTCTATGCTGAAGAAGTCGAGGCTGTCTTGGAGGATGTGCAGAAACTGTGTGTCCTGCCAAGACCAAGAGCAGCGTTAAATCTTTGAGAGTGACTCTGCAGCGGCAAAAAGAGGCGGAAATACGGCCAAAAAAGTAGACACCTCGTGAATTGGGAACTGGGAAGGTATCCCGCCAACGTCGGGTCCATGGACGATGATCTTTTTGGCGCTCGGTACGTTGGCCGTGATGAGCAGGGTCGCCTGCAGTTGCAAAAATGCAAAAAATCAAGGATTCTAAAGTGCACCTAATAAAAGTAGTACACCGTGCACATTCCAAGGGCTTATTTCGAATAACTAAGAGAAATTGGTAGACTTATGGTAAAATACCGAGCATCCGCTCACTCCACAATAGGCGCCCAACCCTCAATTTTGTAACATTCGAATAATACACAAAGGACATGTCTTGACAAATTGTTGACCTACCTCCAGTTTTACCTAACTATCTCTATGAGTGGGTACTTGCTCAGAATTTTTTGTTATATATACATCAATCCAACATTAACTTGGACCTTTGTTTTGTGCATTGTTTCTAGTAGTTTTTGTTTGTTTGTTTTCACACTTTATGAAACTTTATGAAAGAATACCCCCAAATGTAAAAATGAAATGCCATTGTCACATTTTCTTTCAACATGTCAAAAAAGTGCTTAGCACCACTGCACAAGTTTCTCCTGTACAGCTTCGGCATAGGGATTCACAAACCTGCAGTGCAACATCATGTGCGCTCATGTTGGAGCAGTTTTCATCCCAGAAAACACACTATCTCTGCTAAATCAGCAGCCCATATCAAAACAAAAATCAGTTAACTGTCCAGAGCCATCTCAAAAGAAATCTCTAAACCTTTTGAGACAATGTTTGACCTCAAATTGAACTGTTGTTTCAGGATGCATCCTGGAAGCTGTTTCAGACATACAAACTTTTTGCAACAGTTGCAACACAGCAGCAATAAAAAATTACAAAGAATAAATACAAATTTTGATTGCAAATTTAACAGTGTTAATGCAAGCTCTTGCAGAATGTCAACCTTTTGATTGCAAGTTCAACAGTGTTAATGCAAGCTCTTGTAGAACGTCGACCTTGAGTGTCATGACTGCCAACATCAAAAACATTTATTAAAAATATTATATGTAATTGTTATTGACAATATATATTAAACTTTTTCAACCTCAAATATCAAGAGACTCCCACTGTCTATCGATTGAGGTATTCTGCTATTAATGATGCATTTGACCACTTGTCAAAAAGCACTGTCCATGCAAATGAACGGAAGCTAAGCAAAAAGGCAACTACCGTAAAATACCGGGTAAGCGCCCACACAAAATTTAGAGATAATCGGAAAAAAATAGGGGATGGGCGCTTGTCCGGTCACCAATTTTACATATGAATGTACTGTACATATTTTCTCAGATCTTACGAAATTGGGGGTGGGCGCTTAAATGTGGAATGGGCGGATGCGCGGTATTCTACGGTAAGTAGCTAGGGACTGCTGGACTCACGTCGCACTGCTCCTTCCTCAAGACTTGTTTGAGGTCTTTGAGGTACAATCCATGGACACTCGGCACAACCTACGATCGGAGAAAGTGGTGCAATCCTTGAACGAAGGTGGCGAGATTTCAAGTTCCAGAAAAGCATCCTGCACCAAAGGCTCACTCACCAGCCAGAGTATGGAAAGTGCGTTAGCAATGAGCTCTGTGCCACCTTCAATGGGAGCTCGGATGTAGAACATTATGTAGCCAACCTAGATCAACAACAAGAAAGAAAAAAAGCATGTATATTAAGGAATACCCGAAACCAATTTCAAACGTGTTTCCAGAGTCAAAAATACTAATTTCGTTACCACGTATAGATTTGATTATTTGCAAAGGTTAACCCCCAATGTGAAATCTCTGCTCAAATACATTTTACTCGTATATGTTTGAACCGTAATATACCTAAAAAGGAAGCGATAAATTGCAACCCGAGACTGTTTGGTTCTTTGAAGTAATATTAAGCGGTGACATCGGCAGTCTGAAGAGAACGAACAAGAAAGAGAGCAACGGAAAGCAAGAAAAAGAAAGCAAAAGAAAGGCTGGGCAAGTCTGTTTTGCCGCAACTTGTTCAGGTTGCTAGATTCGCTTTTCTTCGTAACAAGCCCGATGGGGGCGTTTTCTCGCAAAAGGAAGCTAAAAAAAGAAAACTAGATACCGATTTTGCAAGCGACATTTTGCCACTTCTTTGCGTTTATTAAGGGCCCGCCAGCAATCTGAGCCTGCCGGGACCACTGACACCTGCCTCTGCTATCAAGAGGTGACCAAAACGCACAGGGAAATGGTGGCCCTTTTCCTCTAGCTTTTGTGGGAACAATATGTTCCCCATCTCCCTGTCGAAACCTAGCATGTGCAGGCTGTGGGGACCGCTATGGCGGCGGGCGGTTTCCTGGATACGATGTGAGGTCACATTCTTCGAAAAGGGTGGTGTCTCCCTCGCTCTTTTGGGTGAACGTGCCTCTGGCACACTCTTGGGAATGATCACGGACGCAACCCATCTTCGAGATAAGCCAGACCACCTACCCCGGGTGCTTCCATCTCCCGCAGGCTAGACAAGCCGGCCCCGAATCGCTGGCCGAGTCTCTCGCTGGCGGAGGCTCGGTCCTCGGAGCCTCCACTTTCTTTTTATAGCTTTTCCCCTTCCCACGAATCTGCCTAGTACGGTATCATGGGCCCCTCTGGGTGAATCTGTCGAACACAACGGCGCCGACCTTTTAGTCGTTTTTTTCTTTGTTGGCCGACGGGCAAAACGAGCTGGCATATCTGTCAATAAAGACATCATTCTATGAATCCACGGACATCCTGCGCTCCTACGAGGTACCCATTAAAGAGGAATTCACACTTTACTGTACAAACTCTGTTGACGACTGAAGTGACATGGTCGTGGGGAGAGAGAGAGGCGGAAAAAGTGAAAGCCTTTTAGATAATGACGCCGTAGTGCTGGACTTCCTACATTAGCTGCTCGAGGCCAGCACGAGGCACAGACTGCATACGAATAAACATGGGTCCCAGCCGAATGCCGACACAGCATTCGCGTCTAATTTGCGCCCCTCGCTGGCCTCCGTTAAGTGTTGCAGAAAGTCTGGTGCTGCAGCTCTGCTCCACCCAGGGGGGATGTTGGAAAGGGCTCCCATACCAGGTAGTTGTAGAGGGTGTGGGCGGCCTGGGCGGGCAGCCGGGGAACGAAGCGCAGCAGGCGCCTCAGCACCTGGATCACCGTGTCCTGCTTCTCCCGGGTCAGCCGCTCCAGGAAGTGGCGCAGAAACAGCGCCGTGTCCTCCACCAGGCAGCGCCACACCACCTGGTAGGCCACCTCGTACACTGCGCAAGAATGAGGCCGCGGCAACCTTGTTCAGGCCTATTGGGGGGCACTAAGTTCCTTGCTGTGGGTGCTTGCCTCGGTTGGCTTGTCGCGTGGGGTCGTAATGATGCACCCCAGTAGAGTGTCCCAAATCCCGGAGCGAGCCACCTTAGTCTGGGATTTGGGACAATCCCGAAGCGAGCCACAATTCACGAGAGCGCGCGCTCGGCCGTCAGCCGCTACCTCACCAGTAGCGAAACATGGCTGTCCACGCCAGTACGCTAGAGACAAATAGAGGGAGCAGAAGAACGACATTCGTTCTTCTGCTCCCCCAGGCGCACCTTGCAATATTCAAATTCCAAATATTTATATCTGAAATCGGGCATGCAAACTTAGCTTCCTAAAAAGTGCTATGTCTATTTTTTTCACAGCTCGAGTCAGAGGTGATAAAATATTAAAAATAGAGCAAAAACGGTGGCAGTGTGGTTGCTATGCCCTATACCGGATGATCTTCTGTACATTGGCTCGTGAGCTTGCTCCCGGGTGGTCATTAGTCATATATTTCATTCAAGGTATTCAATATTGCGATTATCTTGCTCCTCACCAGCCTCCGCTATTGCTTTTTAGCATTTTTGCATCCAGCAAGCCACCCAGGAGCGAACTCATCTGCAGACGACAAACAGGCTAGTATAGGACATAAAAAATATATGGCCTCTGATTTTGCCATACTTTTATTATTTTACTACCTCAGAATCGAGCTCTAAATAAAATGGACATAAAACGTTTGGAGAAACTATGTTGGTGTGCCCAATTTCAGGTACGTACAATTAGAATTCGAGTTTCGCGAGACATGCCAATTGTGTTAGTCCTTACGGCTGTACTCCATTCCCCTTTGTTTCAGTAAACTATTTTTGTTAACTTCCCACATCCTACTGCAGCCCAACGTCTCGCAACATCCACTACCGTCTGCTGCAGACTGCAGTTTTCCTTCGTGGGTCAAGGGTACTCAAACCTTTTGCCCTGAGCAGAGCAGCCAAGGAAGCTTTCCTTTCCCACTGACATCCGTGCAACTAAGCAATTACAAGTCGTACAAACCATGCCGATTTGTAAGGGTGCATGGTATGGCACCTTTCAAAGAAACCAAGCGGGGTCCATTCAAAGAAGCGAAACTTTACCACAAAGTTGCTGCAGCAAAAACGGTTCGATACAAAGGTAGTTCAGTATGTTATCCACATCAAAAGTTAGGAGCAATTTCCCAAAGATCCTTGTTGAATGAAAGGCTGGCATCCTTGGTCAGCAACAGATGTAAAAGCTCGCTACTTGACCACCATGGCTCGTACAAGTGGCTCAATTCTGAATATTTATGACAAAAAAAAAGTATTGCAATGCTGAATTTTATATTGTCCTCTTCAATGACAGTGTCACAGTCATATACTTTGTTCCACCGTAACTTGGCAAAGAGCAAATTCTACGGCTCCTTCGAGCCAATTAGAGTGATAGATGCGATCCACCTGAAAATAGGGTTGTGCGAATATTTAAATTTCCAGATATGAATCGAATCTGATAATAACAAAAAATTATTATCGAATATGTTTGTACCATCAAGAAATAACAAAAGAAAATATGTGAATACTTTCTTCATTACCTTAAAAACTGAAAATGATGTTAACAAATTCAATTAAATGAAACTATCTGACTAGGCAGCATAGAAACAATGCAACAGCTATTATAACTTGACTAGTAATCACCTACAACGCTTACAACAACAAGAGTAAACAAAACTGCACGTCTAGATAGCATGTAAAAATGCAACCTGTTATTTTATCATACAAACTGGTAGTAACCTTTTTTAGGAAAATGATTGGAATTACACTTGACTAGCCAACAAGTCGGATATCAGCTGCTAATGCCAGTATTGCAAATTATCATGCAAGAAAATTAATTGTTCCGCATGTTCAGTACGTAAGGAGCTCCCTTTTCAGAGTGACTTCTCTTGCAGCAGAAAATAAAAGGTCATTAGAAAAGTGACACACTATGCAGGCTTGGCAAAAAAAAACAAAATAAACTGCATCCCTTGTCGTGAGCTAATAATGTAAACGGCAAGGATTCCGAATATGCAATTATCGAATCAAATACGAACTGAATAAGAAAATTCTCTGATTCGTGTTCGACATCTCGAATATTCGAACACACCTACTTGAAAGCCTTTACCAGAGGTACAGGGTCAACAGCATAACCCAAGCAGTTGGAGAAGAGAAGGAGGAACTCCCCCTTGCCCTCTTTTGTGTCCCAGATGTTGCTTTAGTCCCTCTCAGAAATTAGCCAGTTACTCAAAAATCGTACCAAAGTGGCATTGCTCTCCTCTCTCAGCCACGCCTTCGATAGTACTGGGCCAAATTAGTGACATAAAGTATATATCCGATGCACTGAACGGATCACTGGGAAGGTAGCTTTTGCCGTCTGCTAAGTTATGGCGAGATGGAGTATAGCCAATGTCTGCTGCCAACTGCGACTCAACACCATTCAGCCTAGGACCCTGTGCTGAATAACTGCAATGGCTGCGATTAGCCTGCTTTTGATCGGGCGGCAGCAGTAACAATCTCATAAGTTTTCTACGACTGCTGTGGCAAGTGTGGCCTTGGAAGGCAGAAACATCTACCTGATCCCATTTGATTGCCAATTGCCAAACTTATAGCCATGGCGGCTATAAGTTTAAGGCGCACTGTACATTGCAGTAAAATTTTCTAAATCAAACCGTGGCTAGTATGCAAGAGTATCTGTCTGGCAGAGATGCCCTCACAACCTGCATACATCAATAGTGATTGTCTTTTCTCTTTTAGATTCAAGATTGAAGAAAGGTTGTTTTCATATGGCGAGAAGATTTATAAATCCCCTCGATCAGATATGGCTGGGCATCTCTAGAGGTTGAATTATATGTCAAATGTTTCAATTACTTGTTATCCCAATGTGGGCATTGGACTTTCTGAGGCCACAGTCTATAACTATAGTTAGATCAAAATGAGCTTAGCTTATGGAAGCTTGGAAAGCATAAGGGGATACTATGGCATTTTGGACATAGTCCCCAATTTTTCTCAAAAATTTGCTAAACACACCAACAAACATCACTGAAATAGAAACCCAAATATTGAGCCCAAATAAATTTTTGTTTTCGAAGTTATTGAATTTACAGTTTTGGTCCTCACCATGTCTTTTAAAGTGGAGGTCTCTACTGGCAACAACGAAAGAGTGATGTTAGCAGAAGACAGGGGTTCATTCTTTGGACTATAGACTTTGTTCCCAACACATTACAAGCAGTTTCATGGTGTCAAAAAAATGCCTTGGAAGTTTGCTCCAGCACCCATGCACAGCACAAAACAAATGTTTGGCCATAGTCCATTTCTAGACTGCCCGCTCGACCTGCAAGCCTGCCCTCACCTGACGTCACGGCATTGTAAAGCGGGGGTATGTTTGAATGCTAATTTTGGCGTCATTTTCACTAGTCGATTTCCCAATAACTATTCTGAATTTCGCGATACTAAATAGCATACCAGAAAGGGTAAAGGCAGATGATTCTGAAAATATAGTTAGTTGGGGTAACTAAAAAAATTGCCGAAGTAAATAACAAGCGGAAGCTTGGGAAAAACCTTCACAAGTTCACATGGGCTTTCATTGAAGCAATGTGCAATGATGAAAGGCTTGGAAAAACTATTTGAAATTCAATTCTAAAATATTTGGCCAAAGCCACTATTTGCTTCGAATTCACTTCAAACTCAAAATCTGCTTGTCACACATGCCTAATATTCTCAGTGGATGTCAAAAACTTAAGAAAAGAGTAAAAGGAAACCGGCTTGCCAGAGTTTCGATTGGTAGAAATCAACCCTGGATCTACCCATGTCCCCCTCATCCCCTCAAGACACCAAACAATCCTCAAATTCATATAAAAGAAAAATAAACACAAAGAGAGATGCACTACCGGCAACGCCGTCCATGTTGACCTCGGCGTCGTTGAGGAGGTTGATGATGAAGACGGCTGCGGAACACAGGCAGGACGGGAACAAGGCGTGGGCCACGTGGATCGGATGGGCCGCACTGCGCTCCGCCAACTGGTCTTCGTCCCCTGGCAGGACCCGACAGTGGAGAACGTCAGGCACAAACACCCTAGCAGCCCCACCACTCACTGTTATGGCAAAACTAGCGCAACAACAGCCGTGCCTAGTGTGCGCTGTAGCGTAATTTTTTACGCAAAACATTCTTTGGCTAGGTGTTCGGCATTTCGTGAAGCCGAAAAGTGAAGCCTGGATAAAAGCGTGGCCGCGAGGCTCGACATTGATTGGTTGACAGGTGGGAGGAAGGAGTGAGGTGCTCGATTGGTCAAAGGGGCCCTGCAACAACTTTTTGACTGGTTTTTAATTTGCACCAAACCTGAGCGCACTGAACGTAGTAACTTAAAGAAACTTTTCTTTTCTCAAATTTCGCTTTATTTGAAAAGTTAGAGGCAAATTAAAATTACAAAAACAAGCAAAGAATAACCTCCTTCATGACTTCGTAGGTCCTGGCTTGAGTGGCCATGAACTAGAGGAGGAGTAGTGAGCCCATCGAGCGCTCACGGCTGCCGCACTCCGTGTCGACGGCTCGAGAGGGCGCCACTAAAGCACGTGTTGAATAGGCTGTATGAAGCGGGCGGCCAGGGCGGCTCGCATTGCATTTGCTGTGCGATTAAAGACTAATTCGGCATAACACATCATTGGCCACAAACGACAGCAAACACGGGGTAAAAATGAGTTCAGAACGGGAGCCGCATCGCACTGCCATACTGCCGAATGGCGAAATCGCCAGCCAAGCCCGCGCCGAAAGCCTTCGGAACGCTCGGAACCGTTCGGATGCTTGAGCCGGTATACGACCGCAGCACCGCCGCGTACATCCGAGACCTTTCTACGCTCGCTGTTCGTCGAAGCCTCATCCCACTAGCCCTTTCTAGTATGCGCCATTTTTTCCGCCGCTTGGTGGCAGGTTTGTCGATGGGTCTTTTTTTGTTTCCGTACATTATGAACTGCATTTATTTCTTTTCTGATCTAAAATACTGAACAAAAACTACTTTCATACATAATTAAACGGTTTGCGACACTTATATTTTGTGTCTCAACTAAAAAAAAAGCTTTTAGCGGCTCCGACCAGTAGTAAGCCCAGGACCCAAGACGTCACATATTGCGCGCTTTCGGCACCGCGGGTCGCCCCCGTCGGTGGAGGAGGTTTCCGCGCCGTCCGGTTAAAAAATGACGCACTGATATTTAGTGACTCTCTCCGTGCCCGCTGACTTGCCCGAACACCGAGGGACGTGGAAACCGCAAAAAAGGTAGACGCTTAAATATGATTGCAGGGCTCCTTTAATGGGGAGGTTACGTGACCAGAGGGGTAGGCGAGGAGGAGCTCGACCATCTATGCGCACTGAGGGAAAGGAGCTCGAGAGTCTGGATGGCTCTGGAAGATCGCCAGATTTATCAGCTTGATTAGCGGTAGCACTGCTTCCTTCTAGGAACAACTATCAAGTGTACACATGGTACGCTTTAAACTATCTGGTGAAGAGCGCCGTGAACGTAAGACTCTGAAAACTCGGAGCATCGCTAAATGTTTGTGATGCTAGAATGTTTCACATGTGCCATACAATTGCCTAGCAATTTCCCCTATTGTCTTTTTTAATCTAGAATGTTTTTATGGGCTGGCGCCAAAAGTTGCTATTGAAACATGATAGCATAAGCAGTGCGGATTGTTAAGCGAGTTGCTGCTGACTGGCGATCAGTTACTGACAAATAACGATCACATGACTGGTGCCACTCTGGCACTATGAATCACATGGTCACATGGCCACATGACGCCACTGCTACATCATGGTGTCATGTTACGTGGTCACATTAGCACGTGGCATCACAGTGCCAGAAGACGTCGCGTCACGTGATGCAGTGTAACGTGACACAACGTGACATGACGTAGTCGCAGGGTTGGCGTCACGTGACCTCTGTCGACCTGACAACATTGCGTGACCACTGTTCACTACACTTATTGGGAAAATATTGTATACCGCCCTGTAGAAGCACGTCGGTCCACATTCTGCGTAATTCTGACTTTACACATACATCAAGCCATCTTGGTAAGAATTAAAACGGGAACGTCTGGCATTTGTAAAAAATTTCCAAGATATCAAAGCTGTCTAAATATGCATGGAGCTGGATACAGAAGCATCATTTGTATTGCAAATAGACAGCATTCTGCATAATGCAGAGGAAGTGCCCATTTCCATACAAGCCAGGAAGTAAAGTTTCTAGTGCCTGCGCACATGCCATATTTAGAGAACATCTTTTTTAAGGGGAGGGCAAGGGACGAGGAGTTTTGGTGGGGGGTACCTGGCATACATTTTTATAGTGCCCGAGTGCTTCTGGGCCTGCCTGTCACTTGCCAAAGTCATCTTATCAATATGTCACACTTCACCAAGTATGACATTTGTCTTGTTTGTTTGAAAGGCAACCTACACGAGCGTGGACCGACAGCTTTCCAGCCAATACCACAGGGTAGGGTAGTTTGTCTATTTATTGAATAGAAAGCCCAATGCGAACCTCTATCCTGACTCACCCTTGTCTCGGTGAAACTCCAAGGGCACCACGTCACAAATCTACATGCTGCTTCCGGTGAAATAGAACAAGTTGATTGGTTGATTGATCAATCAATCAATCAGCCAATCAATTTGCTCTATTTTGCCACAAGCAGTATGTACATTTGCGATGTGGTCACCCCCGAAGTTTCACCGAGACAAGGGTGACTCGGGATAGAGGTACACGTTGGGCCTTCTAATCAATGCACACAAAAAAATATGTACTGATTGTTTGGTTTATTGATTGATTGATTGATTGACTGCTCAACCAAGCGCACCTTCCTCATGTTCCTCGACGGCGTGAAAGAGTGCCGGCTCGTAGGCCGAGAGCACGTTGACGGCCACGGCCGTGATGTGGAAGTTCTCCCGCTCATTGCACTTCTTCTCCTCCTCTGCCTGAAGTGCCCGATGAATCAGCTCCATCTGCTGCTTACGCCGTGTCTGGGTCGCCGTCACAAACGAACGCTGCAGGGAAGCAGAAAGAAAGGGTGGTCGGTACGAGTGTTGACATGGTGCCTGGAACGCGTCTCCGGCTGGTGTGTTTGCGGCATCCTCAAATATGGTCCCTCGTGACATCATAATCGTACAAGTGTTGCGCCGTGCCTGCTACAATCCTGAAGGTGGCATGGCAGCTGAGCTAGATGCAGCAGGCACCTGTTTTGCTGGAGATTGTGCTCCAGCGCAACAGTCCACGAAAGCTTCGGCAATAAAAAAGTTGGGACTCTGCAATGACGGCAACATTCGCGCTTGCTCGCAGTTTTTGCCGGTGGAACTTCGAAAGACCAACTGTCAGGATCGCAACATCCGACTACACAACGTGCCGTCTCCTGCGATCTCGTTAGTCGCCACTTTGGGCCCATTTCAATGCATTGGCAAGACTGGACGACAAACACATCAGCCAAAGACATGTTCCAGTACTGTAGTGCCACTATAAGAATGGTGGTTCCGACGAATAGTCTTCGAACTTCCTCTCTAGATAGGCCGCAATATAGGGCAATCCACTTATAACGATAATGAGAAAAAAAAAAAAAATTTAATCGTTAAAACCAATTATTATTGTATCAGGACAAGAAACTGATTGCTTCCACTCTAGAAACTCTAGAAATTGATTGTTATAAGCAGTACATTAAGTGGATTGCACTGTATTCATACTTTCCAGAGCTTTGGAAAGTCATGGTAGTGCTGGGTTAATTGCCGCAACGTGCACTCTTTTCGTCAAGCAGCAGTGCAATGCAGAGGGGCAATACTCGCAAGCGGACACTGCGATTTTCAAAGTTGTTCTTGGCCACGCTGTAGCCGTGAGACTAGGGGAAAAGCACGCCTTCAAAACTGGACGGTGCATGTGCACACCTGGTGTACTGTCGAGGCTGGTTATAAAGAAGTCAATGGGAATTGGAAATCGCTTTGCTAGACAATAAACTTTTGTTAGTTCGACTTTGGTTAATTCGACTTTTCGTTTAATTCGATCGTTTTCAAAAGTCCTGGCAAGGCCCATACATTTTTTTGGGAGGAAAAGTTCGATAGTTTGAACTCGGGAAGACTCTGCTTCAAATAATTCGTCCAGAGCGAATGCGCGTGGGCTCGCATTGGGTGGCACCACGGCAAAAACACCACCAACGTACGGCGAAACACGGGCACTTTCCTGCAAAGCCGAACGTGTGCAAATATGCGTCTGCTCCTCTACGCTGTTGAGATAGACCGCAGCGAGTGACACGAGCCAGCGCAACCAATCTGGCGTGGAGTAGCGCGGAGAACATAGCACGTGATCGGGCGCAGAGACAGTGCGCGCTCTCAAAATGCTTTTCTGTAGCACCATGAGTGGTTTATCTTGCACGCTGAAAGCACAAGTTCTCTTTTCCTTTTTTTTTTATTTATTTATTTTTTTTTTTTTTTTGTTGCCGACGGTCTGGTTGCTTGACGCCAAAGTCGGCTCGTAAAGCTTTCTTAGCACGTGCTCTCAAAGCGCTTTTCTGTAACATAGTGTACGGTCCACCTTGCGCATCACAAAAAAAAAGTTCTGTTTTCCTTTTTTTTTTTTTTTTTTTTTTTGCAGTTATTTTTTTTTTGTTGCCCACGGTCTGGCTGCCCGGCGCCAAAATCGGCTCGTCAAACTTACTTTTTTTTTTTGTAGTGCGCGATTTTCTGGGGACGTGACGTTTAGTTATGCTGCTCTCCGGAGCATGCTTTTGGACATGTGTGTTAAGCACAGATGGCACCAGACCATCCATGAGTACTTTGGACAATAAAAGAATGCCTGAACGTGGTTCAGGCATTCTTCCTCGACGATGGTGACTATTCCGTAAACATTCTCTTCCATCAAGGCCAAGAAAGTCCTGCTGTCACCGTTGGAGATGAGCGTTGCCTATCGCAGGTCATGCTTCTCAATGGATCACTTGAAAAGGGTCAAGCCTTCTTCCACTTCCATCTTCCCTGATCTGGTGCCGGTGTTCTCGCATATGTGATGCTGGTGCATGTTGTCATACCCTAGGTATCCAGGCTGCGGTCCCGTCTGACATCCAAGGTACAGGTTTGAGAGCACCACTGCATCCAAGATGAGGTCTGTGTGGTACTCGATCACTGATCCAACGCCAATGTGGGACATATGCCCACGCTTGTGACACGTCCCGTCGAACACCACAGTTATGTCCTTGCAAAAACTTGCCTCCATGTTCTCGTAGGCTACCTTTACAGCAGTATATAACTGACTTTGCATAAAACGCACACCCAAGCGCTGGGACTGTAACTCTCTGAAAAAATTCTTCCGGTGCTCCTCGAAAGTCTTGTGACGAATGCCTCTGTGAGGAACATTCATCGCTGCCCAGAAATCATTGAGAGCTGTCTGCCCCTTCCCGATCTTCTTGATGACCATTATGGCTCAAATGTCCTCTTCAAAAGCCATGGAGTCTTGCTGGCGTGGCAACTCCGAGCAGAAGAGAAAATACTAGGGGTGTGCGAATACTCGAATATACGAATTCGAATCGAATAGAAAGTTCCCGAATAATTCGATTCGCGGATCGAATTCCTAGTATTCGGTTACTCGACTATTCAATATATTCGGCCAAAGACGCACGGTGGACGTGGAGCAAACAAAAAAGCAGTTTTTTCTCCCGATGTAAGCGCCGTGTGACAGACCATGCGAGAAACACCTCTTGGTCCTACCATTCCACAAAAATCTAACGCACAGGTTAGAAAACAGAAAAGTAACGAACGCCACAAACTTTATAGCACGAAGATTTACTGACGATCATGACACAATCTACCCTTGAATCACAACTGAAACATCCCGCTTGCGCCGCTTCCAGAGAGGAATTGTTGGGAAGCCGGAATTCCGCGCCAAGCCTAATTCTTTTCACGAGTAAAGCCCCTCGTTTCAAACTGAAGCGCCGATGTAATACACACTTGGTCGCACTCGCAGAAATCGGCTACTGCACCACTGCACGATCCCAGAAAGAAAACCAACGTTACCACGCCGGCGAAACCAACCGAGTTATCGTCGTCGTTCTTTTGGAACCGCAAATTCTGATTCCGAATCAGAACGACAACTCGGTTGGTTTCGCCGACGTGGTAATGTTGGTTTTCTTTCTGTGATCGTGCAGTGGTGCAGTAGCCGATTTCTGCGAGTGCGGCCAAGTGTGTTTTACATCGGCGCTTCAATTTGAAACGAGGGGCTTTACTCGTGAAAAGAATTAGGCTTGGCGCGGAAGAAACGGAACAGAAAAATAGTGTGCCTAGATTTGAGAGGGTTTTTAACAGCTCGATAAGGTGCCGAAAAGACGAAAGCGTCGGTCGGGTTCGGGCAGGCAGGGCAGATGTCGTCGTTCTTCTGTTTGTTCGCCTTCTTTCCACGCGACAACACAACACATGCGCATTCACGATCAATCTGCGATGGAGCCGTCTCTGTGGTTTCAGTTTCGGTTGCTCCCTCTTTTAAATCAAGGCTCTCTAAAACAGGATAGATAAACGGAAAAATGGATGCGTAGCGGCAGTTGGACGCTGACTTGAACCACCTAACCACGTTTTTTTTTTCTTACTTTAGATTATATTGTTTAAGCCAGTTTACCTTGTTGCTGTTTACTCAGATTTAACACCTGTCTATTTATTTATGTGAAATCAAATCACAGGTGCCATTTTTTTTCCCCTTAAAATGGAGACCAACTATCGTAAAATGCCCCTTTTCTGAGATATACAAATATATTTTTAAAAAAAAGTTGCGGTGTTAAGTTGTGTTTTTAAAGAAAAAAAAAGGCACGCGTGGCTGTAACCTTTTTTTTTTGTGACGTTTAGGGTAGATAGATTATATTTGCACCATAAAATTGGATCTTTGATGCCCAGCGTTCAACAGCAACTGCTTTTTTTTTTTTCTTTCACCAAAACTTTTTTACATTTTGGCTTTTGTTTTGTACAAGACGTATATTATGCACCAGGCGCATACTCTGCGCACATACTAATCGCATTCGCAGCACACTTTGAAAAATTCCTACGAATAAAATCACTATTCGATATTCGATTCGATATTCAGCTTTATTTTCTTGATTCGATTCGGTATTCGATTCGAAAGCTACTATTCGGTATTCGCACACCCCTACAAAATGCCATAAATGGCACACACAACCTCCAGCTTTGTGGCCAGTCCCGGCTTGGTGCTCCCTTGGACTGTCAGGCTGGGTTCCAAACAATGCTTGCACAGTGTGGGGCAGAGTAGAGTGTTCAAAACATCCACCTGGATGAGGCAGAACTTCGCATCTGCATTTGTAGCAGATGAAGTAGTGGGGGCTGCTGAATCAGGCTGCATGGCCTGAAACTTCCTTTTGGTCGCCGACATAGCGCTAAGCTTAGCTTGAGCAGCAGCGCAATGTTTAACAGCCATTTTGATTTCTTCTTGCATCAGAAAATGTGTCAACAAACAAACAGTGGATGATATGCTCACACTCAAAGTGGTCGGCGTCGGCACTCCAGACGTTTCCGGAGTACGGTGATCTGGGGTGACGAATGCATCGTCGGCGATAGCCGATGGCACGAAAAAGTCCCCATTAGAAGCATTGACGTGACGCGCAGAGGTTTCCAACCTCGCCATCCAAAGAAGCTTCAAGAACTGCTTTCGCGCAACCAAAGCGTGCACCGTCTTGAACTTTGTTGCCGGTATCGTGAACGACCACGAAACACCAAAGAAAAATTATGCAAAACTGCTGAGAGAAAAGCATAGGAAACGATATTAGAAATGGCGAAAAGCGAAGTGGAGCTGATGAAAAAAAAGCAAGCAGACCACTGCCGTAGCAGACAGGAGCGGTAGACAGGAGAAATGGAGAGAGGGAGGCAGCAACGGGGAGGGGGAACACACGCGTCGAGAACAATGGCAGTAGGAGATTTCGTAATGAATTTTTAGGGGTGAAGTTCCTTAGGGTCTAGCCTTGTCCGGCATCCATGCTCACATCATTGCCATCCCATCTGTTTTCTTAAGAAAAAAAAAATGTTTGCGCAGTCGACAGGATTCGAACCTGTGCGGGGAGACCCCAATGGATTTCTAGTCCATCGCCTTAACCACTCGGCCACAACTGCAGGACAAGTAAGGGGCTCTGAGATGTGGTAGTAACTCAAGAGCTGGGGTTTCTGTCATGGATGAAATGTTGCATGTAGCCGCTCAACGTCTATACAGGAGAGGGCGCAGCGGTCAAATGCGTATATAATCGCGTTGAACTTTGCATGCATTGGCTCAACGTTTATAGACGAGAGGGCGCTGTGGTCAAATACTAAAAAAAATCAGTATCATCAGCACCAGCAGAGCTTCGCCCCAATCAACATCATTCACCACGTAGAGATGCGGTCATTTTTTTTATCATATTTTTTTTTATGAATTAGGGGTTGACAATTAAAAGGAAGATAGTCTATGTAATAAAGAACCCAAGAATGTAATTTTCTAAAAAAAACTTTTTTTTTTTTTGCAATTTTTCGTTTTTTAAGGCCTGCATCCCCCCTTAAAAAGACGGCATCTACAATCCACCATGATACATTCACATCTATGATCATTAACATGTTGCCAATGAAACTACCCATGCACATAGAAGTTGCATACACAAAAAATACTGAAAGTCTGAAATGAAGAGATCCGCCAATACAGACGATTCCCCAAGACTGTCCTGTCCAGGACAACCAAGACGCCAAAATATTTCAGGCTCTACCTCAAAGCAGGGACATCTGCTACAAATGAAGGATAGGACCTACCGACTGGTCCTGGTTGATGGTGACCTCCTCCACCTTGGTCTTGACCTGGGGCATCCAAGGCGGATCCGCCACCGGAGCGCAGTCCAGGGCAATGCGGGGGCTCGGCAGGGTGAACTCAATCGTGGGAGGGGGCACCTGGGAAGAACAGGTGACTGTCGTACGCCTATCCGGAGGCAGGAGTTCACAAACAGGGTCTCTAGCAAGCCAAGGGCAGATGTCAGTGAAAACGTAACCGATCAAGATTACATATCTTCAAGAAGGGGTCTAGGACATTTCGGTGTAGGACTTTTCAGCGTAGAAAGTTTCGGTACGGACTTTTTGGTGCACGGATATTTTGGTGCATGGACGTCTCGGTTTACAGACATTTCGGTGTACGGACTTTTCGATGTATAGACTTTTAAGTGTATCGCATAATATCTTGGTTAATTTTTATTGTCTAAACACACTGCACATAATTTATTACTCAAAGGTAGACTTTTTACAGCGAAGCTGTTATGCGCTAGGATGTGGGAAAAAATGTGTCCGCGGATGTTGACAGAAAACTCCCCATTGGTCGTGGCAAGTATGAATAAATAAAAATAAAAAAAGGGGGCAACCAGCTGACACCGTTGTAAAAGGGCAACAACAAGAAACGAAAAAAGGTGGAGACGGGCGAAGCGACGAAAGACCAAATCAGGGGACCAAATATAACAAAGAGAGCACCGCTGCGACCCGCTGTAAGCAGCTGCGAGTAAAGGCAACGCCGCAAACTGCCGTCAGCAGAAAGAAGCAAAACCTCTCTATTTTCTTTTGCTGTACATCCACGAGGGGGAGAGGGAAGAAAGGAAGAGGAGGGAAGGGGTGCATTGCAACCCTATCTCTCCCTTGCATTGCGAAAGGCATGTGCAAGCGGTGCCGGCCGCGGCAGCCACGGACAGGCGCAAAACCTGACACCCAAGGGACGCGCGCGAGCGGCGGCTTGCCAGCTGCTGGTGTTTCCATTGTTTTCGCGCACCAAAAGCTTTCTGAAACAAAAAGCGGCGCAGTGCTACGGCGACGCCGGGTCGGTGACTTGTTAGCTCCATGCACTCAGTAGGGTCGCAAAATTTGGTCACGAATGTAGGTCGAAATTCTCTGGTCATGATTGTGGGCCAAACCTTAATTTGTGACACCTCCGAAAAAAAAAAAAGGTTGACTTATATTTGAATACATCCGGTAAGACAAATCTGAAATCCCAATTGATACTTTTGTTTATCAATATAATAAAATATACAAATATCCACAATGCCTGCTGGGAGGTTCAACTATTCATTTCCAACTGCTGAAATGCCTGTGCACCGAAATGTTCATACACCAAAATGTCCGTGCACCGAAATGTCCGTGCACCAAAATATCCGTGCACCAAAAAATGCTCGTGCACCGAAATGTCCGTGCACCGAAATGTCCCTTCACCGAAATGTCCCTGCACCAAAAAATGTCCGTGCACCGAACCATACATGCACCGAACCGTCCATGCACCGAAAAGTCCTACACCGAAATGTCCTGATACCCTCAAGAAGTATGAAATGCATAGCATTTATAAGGCTAACTCTTAGCACTTCCATGTTTGTCCGTGGGATGTAGACTCGGTTACATTAAGGTGCAACGTGACGACCTTGACATGAGTGTAACAATCAAGCGACAACATGACATCCCATGACCCTGGCATCATGTGACACCATAATTTCATGTGGCATGCAGTCACGTGACGTAAGGTAATGTAACCATGTGCTTTCCTGATGGTCATGTGAGGTCACAATGTCGCTGTGATGATTTCAAATTTAAAAAATAGTCCAATTATTAAAAATCCACATTACAAAAAGTTTGTATCAGTTACAATTGAACCTCGATGTAACAAGATCCTGCTACAGAGGGCTCGAGGACACGATTACGTCGAGATTTTTTATTATCTAATAATAGTAAAAAAATTATAGAGTAAAGTTAGAACAGTGGTTGCCAAACTGCCACTTTCCTGGTTTGGAGAAACCATAGAGTTACTGTCGAGACCGGTTATAACGAAGTCGGTTATAACGAAATAGCGGCTACAGCGAAGTGATCACGATTTCCCATTCCCTTTTGCACAATTGGTTATAACCGAAGTCAGTTATAATGAAATAGCGCATATAGCGAAGCGATTTCCGATTCCCGTCGACTTTGTTGTAACTGGTCTCGACAGTATTATAATGTATGCTAGAGGTTCAACTGGCGCTAGTGTCCATGCAACTTCAGGGAAGCAAATTAAATTTACTTTTGCGATGCTTCTGTGCATTCCTATGGGAAAACGCGCATGCATTTTGTCTCTTCGCCAAAAAATACCATGGATCACTTTTGTTATTTTAGGTTGTACCGAATAGTATGTACCTTTATTAGCATTGTAAAAGTGTAATTGCTTGAGTTAGGGCGTTTTGCTTCATCAGTGAACAATGTTTAACTTCGCTATATTTCAGGCCCAAACCTCTGTTCCACAGCAAATGTGTAGAAACAAGCGACGATACTAAGCAAAGTAACAATTGAAAGGAATATACAGTGTGTTCAAGGGTCGCCAGCATTCCGGTGACGGTTATATATTGCTAATATGCCAGTCCTGTCATTATATAAAAATGACCTTGTCTTGCATATTTACGAGCGGTTCAAAAACATTCAAAACGTAAAGAATAAAGTTTGTCGGCTATGAAAGGTGTCTTTTTTTACTATTTTCTATGCCGAGCAGCTTTTATCAGGCACTTGTTCTCAAAGATTTCAAGTGTGCGGCGATTTTTTTTTAACGTAGAACAAGGATCTTCGTACAGAGCAGAAAAAATAAAGCCGTACTTACTATTGAAGATCAAACCATACTACGTGGCTCTCAATTATTTTTGATTGTACATGCACAGAGAGTTACTGATCCAGTGTTACTGCACAGATTCGGAGCTGCTTATGACCGAGTGCATTAAAACCGTGAAGGTTTTTCAAATGCTATTGCAAAACTTTCGCACTAATGAAGTGCAGTTTCAGGGCCAGCGCATTCTCTCGTCGTAAGAGATCGCGAGAACTCGGTCGTAAGCAACCGCAAGTGCATGGACCAGTCTTTAGAATCCTTTCAATCTGGATAAAACTAGGCTGAAGTTTTTTCCGAAAACTAGACTGAAGGTTTTTCAGGGACTGCGAGATCAAATCTATGCACTGTTTATGAGTAATGGTTGCTTTTAACCTTGTCCAAGTTATTTCAAGCTTGTGGTGAGCTGGATCTGTATAAAGTATTTGCAGATCTGAAGTGCTCCCGGGCCATCCAATAGACAGCAGCAGTGTGTAATCTCATTGTAAGCCCACGAGGGTCGTAGCGCGGGCAATTGCGATCAAATGCAATGTGCCGACCAAGCTCAAGGCTACCCTGGGGTGCCTCTCTGAAGATGATACAGTAAACCCCCATTAACTCGAAGTCATAAAAACCGGGAAAAATTTCGAGATAAGCGAAGTTTCGAGATAAGCGGAGTACCGAAATTTCCAAAGTATCGACCGCGGATTTAGAAAATCTAGCGCTTCCGAAAATCGTACCAATCACAGCTTCGTTTTAAGCAAGAAATCACTTACTAAAACGAGAAAAAAATGAATTAGAAACAAGCGTCCAGCGGTCCAGCGCACGCATATATTCCTCAAAGAGCGCCGCCGTCATCTATGTGGACGGGGTTGAACGAAGGCGACGCGACAACGGCTTGGCGGCGTGGCGACTACGGCGACCACGAGATCGGGAGAGCCGATAGAACGCCACAAGCCAGCACAAGCGTAGAGAAAAAGGGAGAAAGAAAAGTCCCGGGAGATGCGGAGAAAGCAAAAAGCAAGAAAACAAACGTCCTTGAACGCTCGTAGCGTTCTGTGCGCCCGGGACGGAGCTTCCTTGTTTTGTTTATTTTTCTCGGTGCTTCCTTCTTTTGTTTATTTTTCTCCGAAGACCCCCCCCCCCCCCCTCTCTCTCTCTCTCTCTCTTTGTTAGCGTTATTTTTAGGTCGCGGTTGCTTCGTCTGCGATGGAGATAAACTTTCTCCTTCGGGCCTCAGTGTCCTTTCAGGAATATTTCTTTTTTTTTTTTATATTTTTGCCAGGCGAAGTTTCGAGATATCCGATGCCCGTCCCGGAAACTTTTTGAGACAAGCGATGTCGAAATACATGGTGCCAATGGGGATTCATTTCGCAACGCACAAAAGTTTCAACTTAACCGATCTTTCGAGATATCCGTGTTCGAGTTAACGGGGGTTTACTGTATTGAGAAGCGTGCCACTAGAAAGTGGTCCGAGCCCGTGGCTGACGAAGGGACTTGCCTTGAAAACCAAATGTGCCGCCTCTTCCATCCTGAGCCAGCACTGGTAACGGAACTTCCACAGGGCTTGAAACCTGCCGGGTCGGAGAACATGTTTTTTCAGCCACAACTGTGCTGTCCAACGCCCACCTATACCGTGTTTTGTAATAACCAGAAAATCGTAGAAGCAATGGCCAGGTGAAAGCATTAGTGGGAAACACTTTGTTTTTTTTTATTCGAAGCACGTTTAATTGTAAGATTTTCGCAGATCCTGCGTGCCTTGAACTCTAGAGTCGGCTGCGATGGTTTCTTTCGAAAAATTGCTACACTCGCACGTACTCGTAATGAGCAGGATGAACAGTGCATTGAGATGAGAGCTGCAGTGGCCACAGCACTCACGCTATTTCTGCACCTCTCTTTTTGTTTTTAGCAATGTTGTTAATGATTTTGCAGTACCTCAGTGTTTTGACAGTAACGTTTTCTCTTTTTACATTGTTTTTTGTTATAGAGATTATTATATGTTACGTACAGCTTCCGAAGATGGCATTTGCGAGGGCAATTTCAACTCCACTTTAAACACTGCTCGGAGTAACTAGGGAACAGATATGTGGTGTCTGCTGAGGTCTGTTTTGTTGCATTGCAAAACGTTAAACTCACGCTTGATTTTTTATTGAGTGGGACTGCCCCCGCTGGGATGACTTGTGGGGCACCGCAGGTAACTTAGAAATAATTTGATAAAAAAGAGAATGCCAATAGTGTATTTGATTACATATAAAAAAAAAAAAAGAATTTTTTCTCTCGATGTGGAGACAAGGCAATGTAGGCTTAGCAACTTGCCAAGCAAAGGCCACACTAACCTGAGTAGGGCATTGACCCTCTGTGTTGTGTCCTCGCTCTTCAGTTCCCTGCTCACGAGTTCGGAGGCGTGTTCGGGTGCCTTGACGGCAGCCAGAATGAAGGTTACAGCTGCAATGCAAGATACACAAGCAGTCTGGGCATTCTCTTTGACTGGACATCTACCTAACCGCATGCAAAAAACCTGTACTGTAAAAATATTATCTCACAAAAAAAAGCAATAATGCTGCTGATTTTTTGCAAACGGGCCAATAACAAACATCAGAATGAGACTACAAACACCATTTATTATTTATTTATTTATTGTGTGATGTCCTAACTGCTTAAATTTTTCTCCGAGTGTGAATGGCGTCCCTTTGCAAGAAATTGCTTGCGGTCCATACTGCAGATCGCTGTGTCATCCAAGCGCTTGTGAATGGTGAATGATCAAAGAGAAGGACTTGAAGACTTAGGAAGACACGTATGCTGGGATTTGCCATCTTTTTAGAGCGCAGCTCTTAGGGGCCCGTTCCCGGCTTGAGCGGCGTCGGCGTCGGCGTAACCGCAACCCTCGTGAGGGTTACGAGGGTTAATCTCATGAGGGTTACCCTCACGAGGATCACGAGGGCCACGAGGGTTACTTACCCTTGTAACCCTCACGAGGGTTACGAGGGTTAGTTACCCTCAAAAGGGTTACCTTCACGAGAGTTACCCTCACGAGGGTTACTTACCCTCGTAACCCTCACGAGGGTTACGAGGGTTAGTAACCCTCATGAGGGTAACCTTCACGAGGGTTACCCTCACGAGAGTCACGAGGGTCATGAGAGTTACCCTCACGAGGGTCACAAGAGTTACCCTCACGAGGGTCACGAGAGTTACCCTCACGAGGGTCACGAGAGTTGCCCTCACAAGGGTTACTAGGGTTACCCTCACGAGGGTCACGATATTTACCCAGGTCACATGACCGCCCCTGGGGTAACGTGACCTGGGGATACCCCCGAGGTCACGTGACCCCCCGTTGACGTCATAGCCACTGATGACGTCATCAGTGACGTCACTGATTACGTCACCGGCATCCGCATCGTCATCGTCATCATCACTGATGACGTCATCAGTGACGTCACTGATGACGTCATCAGTGACGTCACTGATGACTTCACCGGCATCCGCATCGTCATCATCATCATCACTGATGGCGTCATCAGTGACGTCACTGATGACGTCATCGGCATCGTCACGTGGCCCCAGGTCACGTGACCCCCCCGACGTCACGTGACGTCCCAAGGTCACGTGACTCCCACAAGGTCACGTGACCCCCAAGGTCACGTGACCCCCGCCACCCGAGGTCACTTGACCCACCCCCTCAGTACCCTTCCCTCCTCCTCCTCAAGAGCTGCGCTCTAATTCGGCGTTACAGGGAGTTGTAAACGGCTTTCATTTTTTGCTTTCCAAAAGTAGGACGCGATTTTGTCCAAGACAAGCTGAGAGAGACGGAGAATGAAGATTGAAACCCTTTTCCAACCGACGATGGGTGAAGAGGTTGCACAGCCTCCTACAAGAGAGTGAGAATGTATTCTGGCACTGTTCGGTCCCAGCCATATCCAGCTCATTAAATCATGCCAAGAACGCAACAAAACGGCAATGTATGCGGGACATCTATAATCACCCGTCGTGTAATTCAAAATTTTAGTTCTTCACCTTCGTGGAGAGTTTGTTGGTTTCACCCGAAATTTTAGTCAAATGTGGGATGTCGCAAAAACTGGGAAGGTATAATCGGGGTTCCATCACAGCACCATCATCTTTCACCTACCGTAGAAGGGTGGGCGTAGTCATCGCCCACCCTTCTGCCGCCTGAAACTCATAAAAAAAAGTGGGGCAGGCCATGTCTCAATGGGTGAGCACAAAAAAATTTTAAAAATTGGAAAATAAACATTCATTTTTTTGTGTATCTAGCACAGCTGCAGAAGAGATACATTAAACTCAAAACTCGAATTAGTTTTATCGTTTTATACAAAAAAATGCTTCTCAAAGAACGCTTTACTATTGCAAAGTCCGTTGCTTGCATCTGCTCCATGAACACCGTCGACTGGCATATAGCGCGAACGTTTGTTCCGTGAAAGCACGTTACACCGCTGTGTTCTTGTTAGATTAAAAAAAAAAAAAAAAAGTCCACAAGAAAATAGAAAAACCAGGCAGGCGCAACGAGCGAGCGAGCGGATTAAAGGAGCGACGAAGAGCGATGCTGGGAAAGCGGGAAAGCCGGCGAATGCGTTGGCAAATACTTTGGCGTTGGGCCAAGTCGGGCACCTTGTCAATCACAAGCTCTTGCGTAACTTTCTTGTTTGGTGCACACATGCGTGCGTTTGTGCACGGCGTGCTATCAACGCGGGTTAGGGCGGCGTTGCTGCGTGGCGTGGACGGCACCATGAACACGGAGCTCGAAATGGGACGCTTTACAAACGTATGTGTGCGACGTTCCCGCGAATCTTTATTTACCCGCTGGCTTTGTCCTGAACATTGCAAAACTGCCGTCGCGACGTGCCGGGAGAAGAAGTGGGTTCATGGAGACCTTAACTTCGGTGGAGACAGACTTTGACCTTCCACTCGGCGGTTACTTTCCAGGATGTGGGGTGTTCGCTACCTCGCGATCCCTAAATGGGTTACTGCTTGTGTGGCACAGGTTGGAGGAACTTTATTTTTCGGATTTGTTTTGACTTTCTCCACTTAGAATTCTGCTTGTGTTATCTTTCCGACTTCCTTTTTTTCTTTTTTTTTGGACAATATTTTTGAAAGCAAAACAAACTTTTATTTTGTTATCCCCATCGTTTTCTTTTCGCATGGATACACTCTGACTTCGAGGTCGCTCGCCGAGCAAATGCATAAACAAAGAGACGCATCTTTCTCTCCTTCGTTTTACTTTGTCCTGGACGTCCTCAACTGAAAGGTCCGCGGCAGCGTCACTCGGGTAGGATGAATGTTTTCAAATTGCGGAGTCGGCATTGGGGTATTTTAAGGGGTGGGCAATGACTCGGTGTTTTTTTGGAAATCGATATTGGCCCAAAAAGTGGGGTGGGCGATGACTCGGGATATTACGGTAGTAGGGCCTGTGATGCTCTCCTGTGAAGGTCACTGTATGGCACTAATTTATACCGATAGGCATCGCACGAGTGTGCAAAAAATATTTTAAATGCAAGAAATATTTTCTTTTTACTTTCAGTCTAAAGGTTAGGGTCCATAAATTTTACGAGGGCAGAAGTTATGCGAGTGAGTAAGGCGTTTTCAAATTAAAATTTTAATTTCGTAACATATCTTTATTATGAGGGAAAAAAATAAAGCCTTTGTAGGCTTAAAATTGTCACCCTTTAGATAAGCCTTCCGTGGGTCCTTGCAGAAAATTTATCGCATTTTGAAACTGACTTTTGGCAAGGTGCTAACAGAACAAAAAAGAAGCTGAGCCGATCTAATCAGGAATGAGAAATAAAGAGCGTTATGAGTTTACATCGTGGTCCCCGATGTTCTCGTCGCTAACTCCAAACACAGCGAAATCGTGCCGATTTTCGATTGCCGCAAATAAGCATGTGCGATAAGTGGCCAACTGATCGATCAGAAACCGAGAGCAGACCCGAAACTGCAGCCAGCTGCTGATCGCCCTCAAGCAGGAGTTCCCAGGCGATTGGCATAGCTTCGACCAGGGTCTCTTCCGAAGCCACCACGATGCCCTTGATGAGCGTCGATAGGGGGCTGTGGAACAGGCCCATCACCTGCGCACGAGCACACTCTGCTGGAACCAGGTGCAAACATGCCCTTGTCTCGAGCAGAAGTAGAGCAAAGCCCATTTGTACTTCATCTTTTTATGAAAACAAAGAACAAAGACAAAAAAAAATAGCAGCTGCCCCAATACATTCGGGTGTTTTCATAACGAATTCCTCTTCCCCGAAAATGCCCATTTACTTGAGTAAAACAAGAGCAGTCTTGGGTAAGTTACTTTTAAAAAGTAATTTGTTACAGTTACTTTCAGAAAAAAGTAGCCAAGTTACCGTCACAGTTACCGCAACAAAAGAGTAACTCGTTACAGTTACAGCTAATTTTAAAAAGTAACGGCGTTACTTTTCAGTTACTTTTCAATAACAAAAAAAAATTAGAAAAAAAACTAGAAAATGCTCTCACAACGTTTTATTGCATAAAATTAATAAGTACGCTTTTTATTTCATATTGTAACTTAGCAGCAGTTGCTTCTCGAAGTTGGTGTTTGAAAGTTTTCAGGCCAGAGTAGTGGCGCGAATCACAATACGAAACATGCGCAGTGCGGAGTAGTGGCGCTAATCAAAATACGAGACATGCGCAGTGCCCTCCACGTGTATTGTTGTTTCACGGTTGATTCACCCGATTAAAACGCGTTAGCACAGAAAAAAGAAAAACCACAATATAGATAGTGCTTCAAGACACTAAGATGTAAGTGTTCAGTCACTAAGTACAAGCGCGTGCATAAAGATAACTAGATATTTTTTTCATATAATCTACACGTGGCTATATTCAAGTCGTGACTCGCGAGAAAGAACCTAATCACAACTTTGTGCAAGGCCAACTTAACACTCGAAATGTCGAAATAGCCTTTTTGGAAAGTGCAAGGAATGGATAAATTGCACTCGTTCAGTGATATATTATTCATAAAACACTGGAAAGTAACGACAAAAGTAACGTCGTTACTTTCATCGTTACCTCAGAAAAAAGTAATAGAACTACAGTTACAAGTTACATTTTTAAAAAGTAACTCGTTACAGTTACAAGTTACCAAAAAAAGTAACGAAATCACAGTAACGCGTTACTACTCAAGACTGAACAAGAGTCCCAGCCCATTTCTATATGGTTTCAACAGGAGCCAGCGAATAAAGCCTAAGCTTAGTTTATTGTCAGATGCCTTGCCTGAGTCCTGAGGTACTTGAGGGTGGGGTTGTCGTCCCTGGCCAGGGGGCGGGGCCTCTTTCTGGGCTCTGCCTTACCCTCTGCCCCTCCCCCGGCAGTCAGCCCTCCTTCCACGTCGTGCACCAGGCAGGTGGCGCTGCTGTGTAGGGACCGGGCTCCGTCCAGGGCGCGTTCCAGCTTCTCCAGGTTGTGGGCCAGGCTTGCCTTGCGTCGCAGCGGCGAGCTGGGGCCCGTGATGATCTGCAAGGCACCGGAACAATGCGAGTGCCCTGTTTTCCGGATTATGCACGTTGAAAAGTTAAAATTTTACTTGATGCAGACTATGCGACGATTTGTTTTTCAAGGTCGTTCATTATCAAGAGACGTCGTGAATTTTGTGAATGACAGGTTTTGTTAGTGGTGATTTTTGTATAAGAGCATTTTTGTGAATGAATTAAAAAAGCTGCCATTTTTTAAAGTGCGCCGCATATGAGAATTTTACGTGCAAGCTATGCACCCGGTCTGGACTGTGCACCGGATGTCTGGACTGTCTAAGAAATAAACTTTTATTTTTCAGTCGAACTTTACCCTGCGGACTATACGCCGGATGAGGAAAAATAGATTACTTGAAATGCTCATTGGTGGGAATGCCCAAAGCCTTTTGAAGCAGGTGTTGTAGCAAAAAAAGCCTACTTTAATTTTTTTTTTTTTTTCTGAGTTAAAGTTGAGTTATTTTTTCTTTATCTTTTTTCTAATTTTTTTTTTGTTTTGTTTTCCTTTTTTTCTTTGTGACTAAAGTGGTGTTTGCAGTGCGATGGGCATCATAAAATGTGTTATTGCTCATTGAAAAAACTGTGAATATCTGTCCTTCGTCCATTTCAGTGGTTTATTCTGTCTGTGTGAACTATACTTTATCCAACGTGCTCTGCTAAGTGTGCTTAATGGTGCAAAATTTGAAAAAGGGTCTACTGAGCTCTGCCTCTTGATGATCCCTGTTCATGCCAGAATGTCTCCTTGAGAAGATAAATTAGGTCCTCAGTCTCACAAACAAAGTGAAAAGGTTGAGGAGTGTCACTTTTTTTTTCAACAAGAACAAACGCCAATGTCCAGAGTGGTGCGGAGCATGCTTATCGTAGCGTGCCAAAGGCGATGAAAAGGGGGAAAATCCAGGCTCCCAGCACAAAATATGTTATACGGCCACGGCCCCTAACCATTTCCGGTTCTCACTCCAGCGATGAAACGAGAAACCCCAAGTGCCGGCCGAACGTTGACGCAGCGCTCGTTTCCTCACTACTTACAGATCGAAGGTCTCGCTCGAGTAGATACAAATCGCTCCCGTGAGTCACAACATGCGATCAAACATAAAGCAATGCCAGTGATGCACTCTACTCCTAACATGGGCTCAACGAGCAAGCTCCGGGCTTTCAGCATTGCTGCCAAACGAAAGCGCTCTTCTTTTTCTTTCTTTTTAATATTTTTTTCTCTCTTCGATGAGTTCTTTGGATGGGGTCGTTCACCAGGAAGCCATGACACAGCTCTTTCGAGTTCTCCATGTTGGCACGTCTCGTTCCCGGAGTTATGCTGCTGGCGTTTTGAACCTCGTGTTACTGTTTCCATAGAAGACCGTGCGTCTCTTTTCTCCTTTAGAATAGCGATTATTTTTTTAACAACATTCTCAATACATACTTGCACTGTCTGAAAGGCTGTCGATATAGCTGCGGACACACATCGACGTCCTCTGAGACCGAAAGAGAACTGATGAAACCCCAACATGGTCGTTCGAGCACTATTTCTCAACTATTGGTTGCTCAAAGGATGACGAGTCGGAAGCGAGGGTCGAATTAGTATTGATGTTTCCATGTGTGCGTCTTAAAAAAGCTGGAGGTAGAAACATTATAAGTAAGTTTCCCTTCAGAGTACCGACACTGCAGCCATCTTTTTGCTTAAAACCTTCGTTGCCAGTTAACCGAAGCTTTGTCCGAAATCGCAGGGAACACTTTTCCATCCCCCAGAAGCGTTCAAAGAGTCCGTGACAGAGCAAGTCGATATCACCAGAGCTTTTTAACACTGTATGTAAAGCTAGTCGCATTTTCTAATCATAACTATCGCCAGTTGCACCTGTTCTGCAATAGGCAACCAAATGGTGGCATACACAAGACAATAGGGGAATGGTGGATTGAGGTGGAGGAATCGTTTTAAAGCTCAATGCAGACACCTCTCTCACCTTCTTGAATTTCTTGTCCTTCTTTCCACCTTCCTTGTCTTCCTGCTGCTTCCCAATGTCTTGGATGAGTCCAAAGTCGTCTCCATAAACCTGGAAAAAGGAAGTGCCGCAGACGGGATCGGCGAAAAACCTTCGGCCGCCCGACCCAAAAAGTGCTGGCTTGCAAGGCCGTGCGGGCGTACCTTTCGCACACTCTTTGCGAGGCGGTTGCAAGCTCTCATCTGTCGCCGGTAACACGTAAAGTGGCAAAACTGCTGGTGCGTGCAGGTGAAGTTCAGGGTACCACACAGTTGGACTATGACCTGCAACGACGGCATGGGAAAACCGTGATAAAGTTGCGGGAACCGATATTTACGAGACTCCAACACCGGCGTCCGTAATAACGATCTTCAGATGGCCGAGAAAACTCTAAAGGCCGGTTCTCACAATTGCGTTTGAGTGTTATCGACAATGTTGCAGCCGTTTGTGACAGCTCAGGACGGGGAAACGCACTGACACAGTCTGTCTGGTAGCTCTATAGAACCTTCCGGATTTGCATATTACTAGACCGAAGGCTTCACAGTAGGTATTTGCAAGTTAAGATCCACCTACGAAAAATGGTCGGTTATAACACTGTCAAAATTATTTAAAGCACACGGTGAAGAAAATATGCGTAAAATATGTGCAGATCGGAAATGTTCCAGGGCTACCTGATAGGTGCTGCTAGTGTACCCTCTTGTCATAAGTGTCCTCAAGGGACTGAGTTACTAGTCCGAGCTGAGCTAGTTGGTACATGGTCACTGATGGTTGGAAAACAGCTTGAAATGATTACGCAAAGAGACGGGGCAAGACAAAATTTACTACAGTGGAATCTCATTAATTCAAACTCGCTTAAGTCAAACTAGCGGATAATTCAAACTAACATGCAGGTCCCGTCCCATATGTTTCTAAGAAGGAAACTCCCGGTAATTCAAACTTTGCATTATTCAAACAAAGTTCTGGTCCCCCTTGGGTTCAAATTATTGAGATTCCACTGTATATCAACTATTCTTTAGTATTTCATCTTCCTCGTGTAGTGTGAATGAGGAAGAAGGCCAGACCGAGGGATGAGGAAGATGAAATACTAAAGAACAGTTGAGAGTCGGCTTTGTCCTGTCTCTGTGTAGCCATTTAGTGTTCAAGCTGCTTCCCAACCATCAGTGGCCACAAGGGATCGCAACGCAGTCAATTACACCCAGATGCAAATCTGTGAAAGCTCGCACTGCAGAACCAAGAGCGTTCGGGTTGTGTTGCCGTCCAGCCAGTTTCAGCGTGGAAGGGCATCATACTGGCATGCGTTTGCGACATCACTACTGAGGTGATGCATGGTAACTGGAGATGGGCGAATATTTGGTTATTACGAATAGCCGATCGAATCCTGTTCAATTCGGCATTCGCTTCAAATCGAATCTAAGTATTCAACAATATTGAATTATTCGACAATATCGAAACATTCGGCAATATAGGATTATCAACTTTTCTAAATACAGTAAAACCCGACTATATCGAACCTGTTTACATCAAATTATTCTTTATATCAAACAATTTTTGTGCACAGTAATGTTACAGGGATAATATATAGCAAAAACTATGGTTATATCGAACAAAATGGCAGCTGCCACCGATATATCGAACTGCCAAGAGCGCCGTTTTGCTCTGCAAGCTGGCTTTCCCCCAACACGAGCGTTTGCATTGGGAGAAAGCCAGCTTGCAAAACACGCTAATTTCCTTTTTTTTCTTTTTTGGCGACCGCGTTGGGAACGGAAGAAGGTGCTTTGGTGCTCCCTCTCCGCTCCGTCCACAAAAGAAAAGAATATTATTTTTTTCTTCTAAACAATTGACGCGGCGGCCAAAAAAAAAAAAAAAAGCCAGCTTGTTTTGTTAGGTGGCTTCCCCCAACGCAGCCACCTGTTGTAGGGGAAAACTAACTTGCAGAGCAAAACAGCGCTGTGTGAGAGAAGGTGCTCCAGCTCGGACATGCTCCGTGCTCTCGGCATAGTTTGGCGCTAATGCACGAATATAGAAGGCAGCGGCCTCAGCATTTTGGAGTCCGTCGATAGCGTAGAAAAATATTGTTATCGCGGATGCAATGAAGAAAAAGCAACAGGAGATGCAAGACTATTTCATTGTGTAATATGTCAGCAGAAAGTGGATTTTCGAGAGTCAAAATCATTAAAACTTTTATATTGAAATACCCGCTATATCGAACTGGTAAACGTTTTCTTGCGAGTTCGATATAAACGGGTTTGATTTACTCTAGCTTGGATTTCCGACCAGGTGGCACAAGCTTCCGACCATTTGAACCATTTCGTGCTCCCGAACTCAATACACTTAAACTTAACAATGACAGTACTTTTAATACCAAATAAGGGCAAATATAAAACTATAGTTCAAACATATTTTGTGGTATTTGTTGCTTACACTATTCGAACTATTCGATCCGAAATTATTCGGCCAAAATCACTATTCACTTCGAATTTGATCCGGACTCAAAATCCTCTATTCGCCCATGCCTAATAGTAACCCTTTATCCGTTTTAGGAGCGAAGCTCCTTAGGGTCTAGCCTTGTCCATCCGGCGTCTGTGCTCACATCGATCTTGCTGGTGCTTGTGCTCGTGAGCTCACGTGCTTGTGTAGGGCAAAAAAAAATATAATAAATAAAAAATGATGAAAAAAAAAACGTTTGCGCAGTCGACAAGATTCGAACCTGAGCGGGGAGACCCCAATGGAGTCCATCGCCTTAACCACTCGGCTACGACTGCAGGACGAGTAGGGGGCTCTGAGATGTGGTAGTAACTCAAGGGCTGGGGTCTCTGTCATGGATGAAACGTTGCATTTAGCTGCTTAACGTCTATACAGCAGAGGGTTCTGCGGTCAAATGCTCAAATGCGTATATAACCACGTTCCACACCACACATTCTCTTTCTGACATGGATGAAAACGAAGGAAAGGCTCAGCATGCTGCGGCTCAGCGTCTACGCAGACAAGCACCACCAGAGCTTCATCCCAATCAACATCATTCACCACGTGGAGATGCGGTCAATTTTTTATTTTGGGGAATTTCTGATCCTTAACTGCTTAAGGGGGGACACTACCCAAAAAAGATAATGTTTGAACCACTTGTCTTATTCAAATGACATTTACAGGGCTTGTTTCTGTTGATGTTGAGAACACTTCTGCCAAAGTTTGTTAACCTGGGTGAAGTACAAAAACAATTGCAAATGATCAAAGATGAAAATAAGCGTCTTTCATTCATTTCATTCATTTATTATTCCTTAAGAATCCTCTCTCGAGGACATTACATAAGGAGGGGGCAACACAAGAAATTATACAAGAAATGAAAAAAACAACAACATAAAGATACATAACAACGCACACTCATGCAATGTAGCTAAAAAACAAGAGCGTCTCTGCATAGGAAAACTACAGTTCTGAAATTACTTATAAATTTGTTGCTTTCATGTGTTATCTATATTATACCATCTTTTATGACAAAAAAGACACATGAACACAAACACTGTTTTTAGATTTGCATTCTTTGTCCAAAATTTTAGTTCTTGAGCATGAAAAATGACAAAAATAAAAGATACAAGCTCATAGCTATATTCCCCTTCAAATTTCACCCCAGAACAACTCATAAAATTGAATCCAAGTTATGCAAAAACAATTTTCCTAAAGTGAACTTTATGCCAAAAAGTGAAATGGAGAAAAATGCGTTCAAAGTGTTCCAACCTCTACCTTTTCTTTAGCATCGGTGGGCCGAAAATAATTTATAAAGAAAAAAAACTATGCAGTGTAAACAAACGAAACTTCCTGGGAATACTCTCTAGATGTTGGTAGATGTAAATATGACATTTTTCAAAATCAACTTTTTTTGCAGAAATTGTTTTTTTCTGGGTAGGGTCCCCCTTTCAAGGGATACTCTGGCCGTTTTTTGGGCAGCCCAAACAAATTGCATTTTCTGATAACCCCGACTTTAGTCTTCATGGTATGCTATTTATTTTATCGAAATTCAAAATAGCAATTGAGAAAACCGTAAATGAAGATGAGGCCGAAACCAGCATTCATATTTCTGCGCGCTCTCCAGTGGTGTGACGTCACAAATGGTACAGACTTTCAGGTCGTGCAGGTAGTCTTAAAGAGAGTATGTCTAGTGTTTTTTGCATGCTTCTCAGTGAATCAGTTATTAAGCATTGTTTTCTTACCATCAAATGTTTTGTAATCAGTTAGGAACATGGCTTACTGCCCACTCTGTACCATTTCTGTCGTCACACTTCAATGTTGCCAGAGGGGCTCCCAGTTTGAGAAACACTATGAAAATGAAATTTGAAAATTCAATAACTTCGCGAAATGTGTTTCTTTTCACTCAATAATTGGGGGACTGGTAGAGCCGTGTCTATTGGTGTGTTGAGTCAATGTTGAGGCAAATCAGCGATCACGAAAAAATCGCTTAAGCTATACTCATCTTGAACAGTTTGGGGACGGCCCCACGTTGACAAGCTCTGCTTGTCCAAAACGGTTAAAGGGTTAAAGATCTCAGGAAAGCAGCCTTACTGCATTGAATAAGCCGCACCTCCACAGCATTTAACCAGTGACACCAAGCCTCAAAGGTGGATCGACCTCTCGTCGCATAACATTTGTAACATCCTATTTCCTTCGCTCTTACTTTAGTATACAGGTAAATAAAAACACCCTTGACTATGAGGAGCAGTGCCCTGAGCAATTTTAAGTGTGACAGACATCAAAACAAACTGTCTCGTCCATATAAGCATAATTCAGAAAAGCACTAGCCATGTTCGTGAGTCCATCGGAACCACAAAGCGAAGAATTTGGGAGACTCCCCAAGAGAGGAGCACATCCGACGGTATGCTGCTTCGTGCTTGGCTCTAAAGCTCTGAACTGTACACTGGGACTAACTTTTGACATCTGCAAGTTTTTAAAAAATGGTGTATACAGAGAGCAAAAAATGACCGCATCTCCACATGGTGAATTATGTTGATTGGGGCGAAGCTCTGGTGGTGCTGATTGTAGTATTTACATTTGTCGGTCTTTTCAGTTTTCTCAAAGATGGCATAACAACGGACATCAGTTTTGTAATAAAAGAAGGTGCCACAAGCTGGCGGCCTCAAGGCCAGCACTCGGTCAGACGTTTTGCCAACACCCGAACAAGACGGTTGTCTTTCCTCTTGCCACCGGGTAAACGAGACAGGGTTCACTCGAGAAGACGGCTTCTCCGGCTCAGCCATGGAACACCGGCACCTCCGTCTGATGAGTCCTTCATAGT